CATCAAAATATTTTTTTCAAAAAGTAACTTGTCGAGAAACATGAAGTTTTTGTGAAATAGGATCATAGTAACGATATCTTTTTTATCCAATACCATATCTTAAAAACACATAAATCATAATTTTTTTAGATAATTTGTCACACTAAACTTTAGAAGGTGAAATAAAACATGTAGAACCAAAATATGAAGCTCAGAATAACTAGGAGTATTATTATACAAGTGTTCAAAAAAAAAAATTTCACCAATGACAGAAAAAGTAATATGATTAATAACATAAATTTAAATAAGTGTAGCTTTCCCCTAAAACTTTTTAAGAACCAATGAAGATAATAACAAGGCTCTAGTGGTTTTCATGAGATGACGATGTTTTCTTTTAACAACACCATTTTGCTATAGTGTATTAGTATAAGATGATTCAAGAAGAGTACCTTAAAAAGTAAGAAACTCTTTTAAATTACTTGATTGGTATTCTTCAGTACAATCAGCACGAAAACATTTAATTGTTTTAAAAAATTATATTTTGATCATGGCAAAAAAATCATGATAAATTTTAAGTAAATCCAAACAATACCGAAACAAATAAATCCAAGTGTACCTTGAATAATCATTAATAAAAATAACATAATAACAAGAAACTCCCATAGTAGGTAAAAAGATGGGCTCTACACATCAAAATGAACAAGATAAAAGAAGATAAAAAATTGATTCACTTATTGAAAGGTAAAGCAAACTATTTTGCTAGTTTGCAATTGATACAATTATTGGACGTTTCTGACTTAACATAACCCAACTTGCCACTAGATACCATATATTGAAGTCTAGAACAAAAAACATGTCCTAACTTATGATGTTAAAGGGAAAAAGATGAAAGCTTTTGAACACCAGAAACTAATAAGGATTTTCACACAAAAAGATGATCAAATTGACCAAATGGACGATGTGACACATGTAAGTTTTTCAAAATAAATAATCTTCCAATTTTAAGACCTATCATAATTACTTTTCTCATCAAGCAATCCTGCACCACATAGCCACGAGAGCGAAAAATGACATCAAGACTTTGATCACATAATTGACCAACAGATAGCAAATTCATGGAAAGTGATAAAACCAAAAGAACATTATCAAAAGAAACATTTTTAAAATATGAGACAGAGCCAGTATGAGAAGCAGACATATTTGAACCATTAGCAGTATGAATAAAAGGTGAACAAATAATAGGACTTGAATAGTCAAAGATAGAATTATCAAAAGTCATATGATTAAAAGCTTCAGAATCAATGATCCAATCCTTAGAATTCATACATAGAGTAGTTAACAATACATATGTAGAAAAATTATTACCCATGGAGTTGTTACTTATACTAGAAATAACTTGTCGAATAATCTCTTGAGCTTGATTTGTAGTGGAGTAAGAGTTAACATTAAAAGTTTTTGTACACGACATCACAGCAGCAACTCGACTTATTTTATGCAAGCCAATTTTTTTTTCAATTTTAGGCAATTATGCTTTGTACGTCCCAACTCGTAGTAACATTCAATCTTAAAAGAATCCCTTTGTTAAGATGAGCCAAATGAATTAGAGATAAAATTTTTCAAATGTGTAGCTGTTATTAAGATAGTATCATCCCCTCTTTTGGATTGATTGAGAATGCCTCTCATAGTTTCTTCAACCATCAATTTTGACCAAACAACATCAACATAAGGAAAAATGACACAATGTAGAATAGAAGCATGAATGGACTCAAAATCATCTTGAAGTGCCATTATAAATTGTGCAAGATGACTTTTTTTTTTTATATCAATAATATAATTCTACATCAACAATCTATTAGGTTCCATAAGAGCTAATTGATCCCAAATAATCGACATTTCATAATGAAAAGTAGAAATTGATTATCTTTTTTTTTCTATTTCAAAGTAGCAAGATCCAATCAAGTTTATATCTTTGTGCAAAATCAGTTTGAACATAAACGTTTTTCAAGAAAATTTCAAACCTCCTTAGAAGTGTTAAAATTTCCAAGTTGTATACTAATTGAAGGAGTAACAGTATTAGCAATCCAAGTAATAATTTTGTTAATTAATCTCCTATTGTTCATATTCAGATACAAAATTTTCCAATTCGTCAAGAGCTTTCGAAGATTTTTTATCACTTGTAACATATTTCAAAGTCTTTTTCTTTTTAAAAAATTTTATATCAAATAAGACCAATAAGTGTAATTTGTTCCATCTAATTTCATTATAATCGGTTATGATGATTCTGAGAGCCATGAAAGAAAAACAATTCAAAGCCAAAACTCTAATCAACCTATAACAAGCCAATAAATTGATCAACTCGTAATAAGTGAAACAGACAAGCCAATTACACAGGTGAACAATCTAGAACCAATAAAGTATTTAGTCAACCCGTAGCCAATGAATAAAAGTAGGACAAGACAAAGGTTATTCCAATTTCACCAAACCTAAGCTGTAGTCAATGGCACAAAAATCAATTCCACTTAATTTCTCAAAAGGATAAAAAAAAAAAATGCAACAACCATTCATTAAAGGAAAAAAAAGAAAGGTCAAACAATAGCAAATCAAAGTGACCCAAAACAAAAAGAAATAGCAGTCACCGAAAGCTTTGATACCATGATGACTTGAAGAATGAAAAATAATATTATTTCTAGGGTTGTAAAATACATATATATATATATATATATATACAAATGTATAAATGAATTTATAGCCCACGAGATATAACCGAAAATAAAGCTCAACCTTATAAGTCAACTAAATATAATATACATTTTAACAACTACATTATTAACATTCACATATAACTTAAGATAGATAGTTATTTGTCAACTATCCATGCTATCGTTTATGAGATATAAAAAGGAAAATTAAACCATTATATAACATTTTAAATTCTTAAAACTCTTTTTAATCCTTTTTCTCTCTCTTATTCTTCCTCTTTTTTTTTCTTGTCTCTTTCCTTTTTGAAAATTTGAATGACTTACGAATCATATATCATTTCTTTATTATTTTTCTCTCTCTCGTCTTTCTATTTATTTTTATATTTTTTTTATTTTACTTCATAATTTAGATATATCCATAATCAAGTTAATTTTTTTCTTTTACTTAATGCAAAAAAAAAAAAAAAGTTGCTATAATGATATGACCAATATATCATATCTTGTTTGCCTTTTTGGATCTAAATAATCCCAAAGTGATGAGTTGGTTATTAATGCTTTAGTTACTAAATTATATTGTAGTTCGTCAATTTTTTTGAATTCTAAACCTAAAATCCCAACAAATCACATACTAAACATAACAATTATATCAAAGGATCAATAAAAATTTTATTTAATCTTATAGAATTTAAAACTGTTCATTTTTTTTGTTCAATAAAAATGAAAGAATATATAATTTTTTATTTTGTTACATAATAAAATATAAAAACAAGTAAAGTCTTATTCTTATTATTCTTCGGCCATAAATATCCAAATTTTAATTCTTAATATCATATAGTTCGAAGTTTATAGCAACACGTTTTAAAGTATTATCTCTAATTTTTTTTACTTTTTTCATGTAACAAATATAACACGTTTTTTTAATTCAACCTCCCGTTATGTCGCTGTCGTCATATCAAAAATTTCTTCAACGTGATGAACTTGTAATTTGAAATTTTGCTGTGAAAATTTAAAGATTAAGTTATGTCATAATGATTATATTCTAGAATTTTGTAACTTTACCGGGCTGCTAAGTTTACTTCTAATTGCAAATAAAAAAAAATGTGGGATGAGGCTTGATTGTCGTTTACTGCAGGTAACCTACTTCAATAATAGCAATGTTTTATTGTCAACAATGACCTTTTTTTTTTCTTCTTATCAAATTTTTTTGGATAACCATTTTCACGTTAGGAATTTTATTTTTAAATTTTGAATTTCTTGTTTTTGTTGTTTAACTTAATATTTATTTTTTTATATTATGTTATTTGAAAAAAAAAATTAAATCTACTTTTGAAACGAAAATCATCTATCAATTATTGAATCAAATATTTCATTGGGATGTATCTATTAGAATTAAGATAAAATTGGGAGATGAAAGATTTGGAAAACAAAATTAGATTCAATGGAGATCGTAAAATGAAAAAAAAAAAAATACTGAATTTTAATTATTAAAAAAAAATGTGTTTTACTAAGAAGCATCTTAATATTTTAAAGATTAATTAAAATATCATTTATTGTGTTTTTATAATAAATACAATAATTGATGAATAGTGTGCTAGTTCTATTACATTAAAAATAATTTAATATGGTATTTTTTTTTAAAAAGAAAATTTTAGGTAAATTTTTTTAGATGAAATTTATAAAATTTTACCTTAAAATTGATTAAATAAAAAATGAAAATTCAATAAAAAATTAAAAAAATTAAAAACAACATCCAATCACAAAAATTTCATAGATGTTTATTGAAAGATGAAAACTTTGTTATAATTTTCAACACAAATATTTTATTTAAATAAAACATAAAAGCATATTCAAATTCTTTGAAATTTTATATAATTTATCTATGTAACAAAACTTTTTATGCGGTTATTTTTAATAAAAATTGCAAAATTTTCATATAAGAAAATAAATAAAAATTGAAAAAATAAAGCAATTTATGCAAAAAAAAAAAAACTACTAATACAATCAATTCATTGAATCAGACAGTAAATTAGGTAGTTGGCAAAAAAAGGGGTAACTTTCAATATTTTGGTGAACTTCAAGGGCAAAACTACAAAACTTTCCATAAAACTTTTTTTAAAAATATAAAATATAAAATATAAAAGGGAAAAAAAAAAGGAAAAATTATAAGAAAAATCAGCTTTCACAATTAATTGTTTTTTTGGTTTTTGCTCTTTTCTCTCTGCAAAGCCAGAGAATTTATGAGAAGAAGAAGAAGAAACAAAGATGGCGTGCAAGTGTGGAGGCTGCTACTACACTTTGAACGCAAAAGTGAGTTTCGATCGTGACTCAATGAAAAACCGAAACTTCCTTCTTCGAAACGTTTCGGTGATCCGCATGTTCACAAACGGCTTCTTCCGTAGTAAATGGCGATCCGTTGCTGGTAACCGTCGCATTATTAGGTCGGTGAATTACATTTTCATGTTATCTCTCTCCTTTCTGTTTGTTTACCGAGAAATTGATACGAAATGAAAATTTTGATGTCCGTGTTCTTATAATTAATTTTGATAATCGAAGGGCTGAATTTGAAGCATTAATTTTATGAGAAAATTTTGGATTTTTCGTATCTTTGAGCTGTACATTGCAGTTAATGTTTGGTTGACAAGAAAATAAAAGAAAAAGGAAAATTTTTGAATTTATAAAAATCAAAATAAGTTTCTTTTTAGAGCTGAAATATCAAATTAAAATAAAATTTATTTATGTATTTAATAAATAGAAGAAGAAAACATTTGTAATGCCTTATTATCAAATTTTGAATTGATAAAGTCACGCTTTTGATTGTTAGAGACGTAACCTATCAGTGATTAGTATAGGAAATTCCGTTTAGTATTGGAATTTGTGACACTTTAACGAGAAAATGGATGAGAAATTATCTTAGTAAAGTGAATTAAGGCTGTGTTGGGTACATAAGATTATAATCGGATAGGATAAGATGATATTATGATTAGCATTAGATTAAATAATATTGTACTATATTGTGTTTGATGTATGTAAGGATTAAGATAGGATAATTTATTTATTAGTCAAAAATATCCTTCTTCAAAGTTTATAGAATTTAAATTATTAATGTAATTTTTAAGGGCATAATAAGACATGTAAGTTCAATGGATTAAAATAATCCCCTCCACTTTGGGAGGATTAAATCATGATATGCTAAGCGGTTGATTAATCTTTCTTACAATCCTATCTCTTTCTTTAGATAGAAACCAAACATAGTATAGGATGATTATCATCCCATCCTATCAACCATCCTATGCATCAAACATGACCTAAACATTTGTTTTTGCTCTTGGCATAATAAGTGTTTCTCAGTATAACTTCTTGTTCATGTTTTAGTTTTCCTGGAAAAGGGTTGTCTCTGTTCGGACAAGTTCCTGCTTAAGTTGGTTGGATTGTGATGCTGGAATATCACTTAGCCAATCTACGGAGTTTAAAAATTTTATGGTATTTTTTTCTTTCTTCTTTAGATGATTTGTATCTTGCCCTGATGTTTTAGTATTGATTTCTTGCAGCATGGATGCTCGAGAGAAATCGAGATCCACGATACTGGAATCATCAAAAGATAAGAGGGTGCCTATTTTTGTAATGATGCCTGTGGATGCATTCTCTTTTGATGCCTCTGGAAGGCCAAGGATTAGAAAGTAAGCTTTTGATGTTACATTTGCTTGATTATCACTATATGTTATGGTTTAGCATTTCTAAAAGAGAGGCTGACTCGATGCCTTCATCATACTATCGAAAATAAGGAGAATACAATCACCTTTATCCTAATTAACATGATCATGTTATAGGATCTGATTTCTTCTCTTTAAATCTTAGATAATATGTTTTGTTTTGCTTTTGAAAATAAAACGGTTTTCATTTTGCGCTTTATTGTTTCAGAATCAAGGCCTTAACTGTATCTCTAAAAGCACTCAAGTTGGCAGGTGTTCACGGAATTGGAGTTGAGGTCTGGTGGGGAATAGTGGAGCGTTCTTCTCCTTTTGACTACAGTTGGTCTCTGTATGAAGAGCTTTTTAAATTGATATCTGATTCAGGGCTAAAGTTGCATGTTGCCTTGTCTTTTCACTCAAATATTCACTCATCTAATGGAAAAGGGGGTGTGAGTCTTCCACTGTGGATTTTAGAGGTTTGCCCATTTACTTGTTATGCTGCCATATAGTTGCAAACTGAGTTATAATTTGCATGGTTGATTTATGGTCCTTTTAACTGTTTGTACTGAAGGTTTTGTTTTGGTGTAACTTATCAGACTGGTAGGAATCTTCCAATTCAATCCACCAACAGTAAAGTCATAAATTAGGATGGAAAAATGTCATTTATTTTACCTGCACCACCAATCCCTTGTGGTAGATAATCTACTATTGTAATCCTGTAGGTAAGACTCCATTAAGTCTTCCAATTAGTATGAAGCTACTCCAGTGAAAAGGTTACCAAATGAGAAATATATAAAGACGACCTTATTTGTATTATGATTATTGTGACTGCTAATGTACCGCTAACTAATACTTTCTTTTGCTCTCAGATTGGTGATGTAAATAAAGACATATACTATCGAGACCAACATGGCTTCTCCAACAATGATTATCTTACACTAGGGGTGGACCAAGTTCCTCTGTTATCTGGGCGGACTGCCCTCCAATGTTATGAAGACTTCATGGTTAGTTTTGTTGATAAATTCGAATCCTATATTGGAAGTGTAATAGAAGAAATAAGCATTGGTCTTGGTCCCTCTGGAGAACTTAGGTACTATATGGTTCTTATGTCATTCTTTTCCCTCTTTTTGTTCAAACTGTGAAGTTATTGTTGAAACATAATTATGAAGCCATTGCATGATTTTCTTAGTGCAGGTACCCTGCTCATCCTTTTGGTGATGGTAGATGGAAGTTCCCTGGCATTGGTGAATTCCAGTGTTATGATAAGTACATGTAGGTTTAAACCTTTTTCATTCTATGATGCAATCTCAGTTGTTTCAGTATTCTCAAGATAGTTTTGCTTACAGGATGAAGGACTTAAAGATGGCAGCATGCCGAGAAAGAAAGCCTCAATGGGGGGACAGAGGGCCACAGAATGCTGGCTGTTACAACAGTCTTCCATCAGGGGTACCCTTTTTTGAAGAGGGACAGGAAAGCTTTCTATCTGATTATGGCCGTTTCTTCCTGGTATGTATGCTTTATCTGTTACTATTTTCATACTAGATATATGTCTGACAAAGTTCTATATAAATTATGGCAGATTAATAATATTCTACAACATTCATGCACTATCTCTATCTTTGCTGTCACAATACATTAACTGACAAAGATTCAAACCATCCATTTGAATTTGATGCATTGCCAAGATATTTGCAATACAGAAGTGTGGTACAGAGTTTAGTGTTCCTCGACAGTCATAGTGATAGGTTATTTTCATTACTACAACAGTTTTATTTTGTAAGAAGGTATTCATATACTAAAATGGTGATATATGGGGTAAATCTCCTTCTGTTTGGAGTCATTATTTCCTTACCAGTAGCTATCAAATCATTTCAGAAATTATCAAATTATATATTGGTTTAGACCAAGGTTACTCATAGTCATAGGTATATATTAATTAGGAAAAGTGTAATTTGCTTATAACATCATATTTTCAGAAACCCAGTGTGCAATACCCTGCCTCATATTAAACATGATTATGGAAACTTAGAGTTATTAAGAACCTAAAAAACCAGACTTTGGGATGATCTTTTGCAGGAATGGTACAGTGGTAGGCTAATTTGTCATGCAGATGCCATTCTTGCAAAGGCAGCAAAGATACTGAACAAATACCAAGAAAATGAGCAAACTTCTGTTATGTTAGTGGCTAAAATTGGTGGAATTTATTGGTGGTACCAGACTATATCGCACCCTGCTGAACTAACTGCTGGTTACTACAACACTGCTCTCAGGGATGGTTATGATCCAGTCGTCTCAGTATTTTCTCGCCATGGAGCTGCTTTGCATATTCCGTGAGAATTTCATCCCTAGTTAGTTCATTTTTTTTTTCTCTATCTTCTTTACATAGATACATTTTTTTGTTTGGTTGGGTTTCTTTTCTAAAATCCTTAGCATAATGCATTATTCATTTAATGACTGAAAATAGTTTGGTGCAATATTTGCTGTAAACTGATACTTGCCTGAAAATAGAGTGGACTTATCCACATGCAGGACTGTGAATCTCCTGAATGAGACTTTATTTTGTAGAAAGTTTGAAACCAATTTGATTCTTTCTTTTTGTAGATTGATAAAATCTTAAGGATAAAATTTACAAGATGAAGTATAAGATGCTTAGGGAATATCAAGCATCAATGTCATTTGAAGTTTGGCTTTGTTCATTGTTGAAGTTCTATGCTACTTCATTGTCTCTCCCCTCCGTTTATCTAAGTTCGTGCCTGTCTGATAGTTGTAGATATTTACTATTTAGTCGTATTTCTACCAGCTTTTTCATTTTCTTTAACTTTCCCTGCAGCTGCTTAGATATGATGGACAGTGAAACCCCACCAACATATCTTTGCAGTCCTGAAGGATTACTGAAACAGGCATGAATCATCTCGTTATTGATAAAATTTTCTTTTCTTCTTTGATTTTGAAATTTGTGATTTTAGTTGCTGCAATTTTAGCTGTTTAAATCTACAAACAGTACTATTCCTCTATCTGAATTCATTGCTATAATTGATTAAAGAATTTTTGTATATGATATTACAACTGGATGTCTCGAACCTATCTGGTATTTAGCGAAATATGTTTACATGTCTAGCCTCTCAGATATTCCCCCTTGAAAAGAGAAAAAAGAAAAAAAAAAGAAGCATTGTTCAATCTCCATAATTTTGTAATAAGAGGGCCTAATTCTGTGTACTTTTAGGGCTTGATTGGCTTCACCCGCCGGTGCCTAAAAGATAAAAAGACAAAGGGAACTGAACTAATATGTTATATTTATCATAATCAATGTAACCTTTAAAGCCTAAATCCTTTCTCGACATCTGGTATAATTATGAAAATATCTCAAAGGTTTCTCCCAGGATACAATATTTCAAGAAACAATTCTGCTTTACCTTCTTTCTGTACTTCCCCTGAGAACTTGGTTGTAATCTGTGACAACTATAGAGGAAACAGTTTGTTGCCTGTTATAAGGAAGTTTAAACGAGGTTGTTATGTGGTTTATAACTGCTAAAGAGTGTGAATATCTGATGCAACTTGTCTCATTCATGTGCTTCTCTTGTGCCAAAGACTAATTTCTTTGACCTTTTGAGTTTCACTGCAGATACAGTCTGTTTCAAAGAAAAGGATAATTAAGTTGATCGGAAGAAATACTACCGAACGACATGACAAGGTATCATTCTATCTTATTCTTAACACAGTCTTGTTTTTCTGGTAAGGATAAGTATGGCATTTGTGATTAAACTTAACAATTTTAAACACGACTCGATAACATGATACGAAAGTGACAGTTTATAATTTTAACGAAAACTGTATATGGGTTTAACTATTTTTGCCAGTATTTTCTGACTAACATAACTGATAATTGAACTCTTTCTTAAAAATTCTTGCAGAGTGGACTAAGGAGAATTCATTCAAACTGTTATAATCGGCAGACAGAAGTTGTAAGATCATTTACTTATTTCAGAATGAATGATGGTATATTTAGGGTTGAAAATTGGAATAACTTTGTGCCTTTTGTCAGATTGATGAGCAGAGATTTGTAATATACCATTTTCTAAGCTGATTAACATCTTCCTGCCCTTTATTTTTTCCTGTCGGGGGACAGGGGGAATTACAAAAGCTTTTGTAGCCTTGTTGTAAATCTAGTTATACATCCTTCCATCGTCGTTCAGTCCGGCTTTTTTTCTTTTTTATAGGTATTTGAGGCAGGGGTAAGAAAAAATCAAAAAAATCAGAAACCAATTCGAAATTATTGTGTTTAGTTTAATTTAGATCGATTTTTTTTATTTGATTTGGTTTACATTTAAATATTAAATGTATAAATTAAATTCGGATTGGATTTAAAATAAAAAAAAAGTGAAAATTAAAAAAAATCGAATTGAATTAAATTATATATTTTTATTAATTTTTATGTATTTTTACATTTTGATAAAATAAAAAATTATTTTATAGTTAAAATTATTTAAATATATTAAAAATTTATATTAAATTAAAAACCAATGAATTAAATGGAATTGAATTAATAAAATTTGATTCGATTCAGATCATATAAAAAATAATTTTTAATTTGAATTAGATTTTAAAAATTTATATTATTATATATTATTTTAAAAAATTAAATTAAATCAAATATGATTTGATTTGAATTATTATCACATCTGATGAAAATGATACGAGATATGTAAAATATATTTTATTATATTTTTATCTATTTCTTAACTTACTTTCTCTTTTTTGTAAACAAAATATTTCGTTGTTATTTTGAGCATCGGAATATATTTCGAAATCTTAATTTAGATACCATTAAACTTCTATTTTTTTGACAGATCTAACAAGCTGACCAGCTAAACATCAATTTCAATCCTGCTCTAATCAAACCCAAAAATTTCCTTAACATTATGTATCCTAAAACTAAAATGAGATCAACTCATTTGTTTTCTCAGAGAAAAGAAAATTTTATCTGAAATTTACCCTCCATAATATTTAGATTTGAATTCATCCATGGAATCCAAGTCCATTCTATTTGCATTGCCATCTCAATAGACTAATAATCCAAGAGAGAAATATATTCATTTTCTGTTATTCATTTAGTAATATTCTGTCAGATGGTTTTAATAAAGGCACAAGAGTCAAAAAATTTTCCTAAATAAAAATTTAATAATTATTTAAATTTTTTACATTTTATTACAATTTATTAAATTTTGAATTTTTTTATTACAAATCAATTAAAATTTTAAACATTTATACATCTATTTTTACTTAATTAAATCTCTATTTAACATAAACAATTAATTATTTTTTGTAATAAAGATTCAATTGATGAAAATAAATATTTAAAATTTTAATTAATTATTAAAAAAAAAAAAAAACTTGGATGGTTACACTTGGGGATCCTTTTTTTTTTTTTTTTAATTTTTATCTTTGGCCTTTAATAAATAAATGAAATTCGTAATATTATAAAACGGATGTGCTCCCTACGCAAAAATGTTGACAGAATCTTCCTAAATTTATCTCATTTTCCCTTGCAGGAAGTAACCAAGACCTTACAAATCCTCCCGTCTTCCTCTCTTAACCTAGTTTCTGTTGTTCTGTAAAACAACCAAACAATCTTGAAAGCAGGATGCTTATATTCAATCATCTTTCTTCACCACCAACTCCTCTAACCTTATCTCAAAAAACCCATTTTTCCCCTTCAATTTTATCTCTCAAAAACCACCCATTTTTTTTCACCATACCAAACTTTCCCAGCAAAGAAAATAACCTAACAAGAAGAAAACGTTTCACAGTCCAAGCCAAAGGTGGTGATGACTCAGCTGATGGCCCAGATAGGCTGATTTCAGCATTATGTTATTTTTATCCCTTCTTTGATGGCATACAATATGGCAAGTATGTTATAACACAGTTCACTCCAATTCAGGTGCTGATACAACCACTTTTCCCAGCCATTAAACTGTTCAAAAGCTTCCCTTTAAATGGGTTTTTAGTGTTTTTAACATTGTACTTTGCGGTTGTTAGGAACCCAAATTTTAGTAGGTATGTGAGGTTTAACACTATGCAGGCTATTGTGCTTGATGTTTTGTTGATATTTCCTGATCTGTTGGAGAGGAGTTTCAATCCAAGAGAAGGGTTGGGTTTGGATTTGGTGATGAGCTTGGATAGCACTGTGTTTTTGTTCCTTTTGGTTTGTTTGATCTATGGTTCCTCTTCTTGCTTGTTTGGGCAGTTGCCAAGATTGCCAATTGTTGCTGAAGCTGCTGATAGGCAAGTTCTTTGATGGCCTTATTTGGTTTTTTTTTTTTTTTTTTTTTGTAACCAATTGTTGTGTTTGAAATAAAGGATTAATGAAATTCAGTCTCTTGGTTTTCTGCCCTCTTATCTGGTACTAATGTTTGATAAGATTATTTATTTATTGATAGATAATGTTTGATAAGATTAATAGACGGACAAATTTGCTACAACACCAAAATAGATGACTTGCATTGTTGGAGGCATTTAGTGGTAATAAGGGTATAGTATTTTTTTTTTTTTGTTGTTGTTAGAAGTCTTTAGCAAACAATTATAAGTATTTTCCACGTTTATGTTGACATGATATATTAGGTTGGTTTAACATATTCAATGTCATATCAATTTGATCATGTTCGTCTCTTAATAATTTCTCGTTGTTTATTTATAAATATAAAGATTAGGTATTATTATAATAAGTTCATTTTATTCCTAATTCTCTTTATTATTTTTCTTTGGATCTTACCTATTTTGATTTACATGTTGGAATGCAAACGTAAAGAACACTTTTTGACGTTGCCTCTAACCGTTATTTTCTTTTACTTTTCCAAAAATACTTTAAGATCAAAGTTTGGCACAAACATGTAATGGTTTATTTCTTGTTTTCGTTGGCTTAGGGTGTATTTGGATTCCATCGCATTCCCCTTTATGCTTCCCAAATGCATTAAATGATGCATTTGGCTAGCAGTCAGAGTAGCACTCTAGCATGATTTAGTGTAACATTAAAATTGCATACAATTTTCAATATTGTTTTACCCGATTTTATCTTCATCGATACGGTTGCATTTGTGCACCAGTTAGAAAAGATGAGTTTTTAAATTTAAGAGAGATCAAAATTTATAGAGGTAGATCATAAAAAATATGAATACAAGTAATAAAAAATTATGATGGTCAAAAAAATAAATGAAAATGTTGTTGTTGATAAAAATAAATGATGTAAAAAATTCAAAAAATTGATCTAACATAATTTTTTTCCCCTTTCATACAATTGATCTAAAATTTTTTAAAATTATAAAATATAAGACTTAATTTGTTGTTGTTGTTGTAATACGTTTTCATCTAATCACATACCCTCATTATCAATTTTAATGTTGTCGATATAATAACTAATCTCACAGTCATTATTTCTAATTTCACCGGAATTGTCATCCATTCAAATAAACTTTTAATCTGAAATTAGTAACTAGAATATTTGGAACCCATTTATGGAAACATGTAGCAAGTTCCTTTTTCATGGATCTCATATAATACTGAATTATAATTGATTAATTGCACTATAATAAATGTAGGTGATATGTTCCAAATGAAAACCAATTCTTATAGATTGGATTTTTAAACTTTCCTTGATAGGGAAGATGAAAAGAGATAAGGATTAAAAACTTTAATCTAATAGTGATAGAGTCAGTTCAATCAATGGCTGCCAGATTGGTAAGATATTAGAATTGTTGCTCCTATACAAATGAAAACAAATTACTCCATTACTGATAAACAGAGCTTTAATCATCAATGGTCTTTACAGATAAGAATTAAAAATTATGAATATGATCAGTTAGTTGATCTTCATTTCTCATCTGAGTTCAAGTACAGGTGCTGTTTTCTGATATAATCAATCACTTCATCTACAGTCAAATATTTTATAGACAATCCTCTTGAAATACATTCCCTGAAACAAATGAAGAAAACAAGAGACCTCCATTGATATTAGCTTTGAGAATAAGGTTTAATATATGGTTCAGTATCTAGTAGCTCCATAACTAATGCTCTTTACCTCACTCTAGTTGAACTGATTTGGTTTGGTACAATTTCATCCACAATTTTAATGTTATCCTGAAAGAACACGAAAAAATATATGAAAATGGTACAGTTTAAAATTTTGACAAAAAACCATATATGAGTTTGGAGAAAACCAAAAAAATATGTTTCCTATTCCTGTGTCGACACAAATTGTGATACAATAATTTTCTTATTTTACATATATTTGACACAAAATAAATACGACACAAGTACTCTTGAGTTAACCAAATTCAAAAATCGTCTAAAGAGTAATGGCCAGGAACTAAGACCTTGATTTGCTTCTTGTGAAAAATTGGAGAGAACAAAGAAATTCTACTAACCCTGTTTTCATTCAAAATTTCATCATCATTGATGATTTTTTCAACATCTTGTCCTTCTCTGCGAATGCAAACCACACCATAATCTTTGCATATGCTTCGAACCTGAAATTCGATGCAAAACATAAGGTTAGTGACTTCAGATTAAACTTATGCTAGAGTATGCACTGAATTTGGACCAAATAATCATAACTTAAATCTCCCCTCAATCCAATAACACCTATATCATACAAACTACGAGGAGGAATATGAAGCAGTTACTTTACGTCAACATATGTCCTTTCCATTCAAACCATGCCACGTAATCATGTTATTGGAAAAAGTCAACTACTTATTACACATCACATGTGATAATTAAATGGTAAATATTTATTTCAACAGACTTGTGCATGTGATGTGTAATAAATGATTAACTTTTCCATTAACATGATTTTGTGGCATGATTTGAATGGAAATGACATGCTGATGTGGAATAACTGTTTCTTACAATCCTTTCTCTACAAACTAATATAAGCATATACCTGCTCAGGAATCCAAAAGCCAGGAATGCTGAAAGATTGAAGTAAATCAGAACCACAAACAAGCATGACTTTAAGGGTTTCTGCAAAAAGCCAGAGATATTGCTGTTAGTATCTCCCATGGGACAATGAGGAAATTGCATATAAACAGCATTTGGAGTAAGGGTGTAAACGAGTCAAGCTACTTGTGAGCTATTTGGGCTCGACTCAAAAACACTTGAGTTCGACTCATTTATTTTCAAGCCAAGCTCGCGCTACTTAGGTAACAAGTAGAGCTTGCGAGCCTAATTAAGTTTCTATTTTTTTAATATATAAACGTAAATTACAAAAATATAATGTTTAACGCAAATATTTACAATTTTACTAAGCTTAATTGAGCCGAGCTTGAGTGGCTTAATTAAATTATGAGCTAAGTTCGAGTATAAAAAACGAAACCCGGTAGAGCTTGAGTTGAATTTCAAGCCTCGAGTTTTAAAGTCAAGCTGAGCTTAAGCCTTACAGTATATTGACTCAAAGACACCCCTAATTAGGAGGAGAGCTAAATGGGAAGATAAATAAAAAGGTAGTGAAATTGTTGAATTAATATGATAGATCATGGCGACAGTTCCTGGAAAACAAAACCAGATCATCCAATGTAATCCCGTATCAACCCACTCTTGCAACTGAAGTGTATGCATGTCTATAACTATCAATTATGTGTATCGCTGTGTGTCTGTAACATTTATAAAGCAAGGAAAGCAAGCATAACTTTCTGCATACATACCCTTGGGTATCAGTCCACCCTCAGTCAGGAAGCTCTTGACTCGAGCCAGAACAGTTAGAGTGCGCTGAAAAGAGCTTTGATTTGCCTGTGAAAAAAGCATAAAAATTTGAGTTGGTTACAGAAACAAGCTTGGAAAGATACAAAGGCAAATCATAATTTGCAATGCAATCGATATTCTTTACAATTCAACTCGGATTTTCCAATGAAACAAAGCTGGAGACAGAGAAATAGTACCTCCCAAGGATCAACCATGACAAATTCAGAACTTTTGCAGGCCAGATTGCACAACTCATTACGATGTTCTGCAGCTATAAGGCCCTGCATCATCAGTCAAAGCTACTCAATTGTTGTATATAACTATAGAACAACATAGCACATATAAACTCCGATAGATACACTGTTGCCAGTATCCATTAATTTCTTTGTTTTCGGGTTATTATTCTATACACCAATTGTTAGGAGTGTAAACAAACCGCACATGAATGAATTTTGCTATGTTCATGATTTGTTTGTTGAACTAACAAACCCAGAACTATTATTTGTGATCATTTGTTAAACTTAATAAATAAACATAAATGAACGTAAACCAAGCTTGTTCACGCAATGTTCTACGAATACTTTGTTCGTTTACCCTCTCGAATGTACACGATCTGAATATGAATGAAATTTGTTATATTCATGATTTGTTCCTTCAATTGACGACCCTTGAAATGTTCTTTTCGTTTGTTAAGCTTAATAAACGAATATAAACAAACAGAAATCTATCATTAACAATTTAATATTTTAAAATTTTGTAGATCTATCATTAACAATTCAGTGAAGTATAAAAAAGATTAACCTTTTTCTTGTATGCATCATTAACAGGTGACATATAGCCTCCTATAACACAAAACCCATCTGAATTCAACGCATCTCTAGCCAGTTCTAACCATAAAACAATATCAAAATAAATAAAAAAAAGAAAAATAAAAAATAAACTAATAAAAAAAGAAAAATAAAATAAAAACTTACCAAACATGCGTAAGTGCATCAAAGTAGGAGGATTGAAGCTTCCAGTGGCTACTAAAACTACATTAATTTTATCTCCACTTTGATCATTAAAAAAAAAAGAAATTATTTTAATAAAATTAGTAATTTGCATTGAAAAATAAGAGAATTGATTCAAAAAAAAAGGGAAAGGAAAGGAACTAACTTGGGTATTGGTGGAAGAGAAAGTTTATCCAAAGGCAACGGGATTTCCATTTTAAGTAATGGGTTTGTTTTATTTTTAGTAATAAAATTCTGAAGAAAAAAAAAAAAACAGAGTTCTATAGTCGAAGAAAACGCAGAGAGGAAAAGAGGGGAGGAGTTGTTGATTATCTCCCGTGTCAATAACGACGTCGTATACCTGACGTAAATTGACTTTAAGCGGCGTTGTTTGTGACAGACTTTTCGTTTATTAGTTTATTTCACGTTTGTTGCAATTCACTTTTGGAAAGAATGTAAATAATATACCAATATTTATCCGCTATTTAGATTTAGCTTTTAAAAAATTTGAATTTAAGTTGATCATTATTGAATTGATCTTAAATTTAAATACTTTAATTTATCAAATAATGTAAATTTAAATTTTATAATATTTGATTCGAGTAATTCATAAATTTAATTAAATTTATATATTTTAATTATTTTAATTAAAAATTATAATTTTATTTATATTTATATTTATCAATTTAAATTTGAGTTTAATATCAAATTTAAATACAAATAATTGAATTTAAAATCGAGCATAAGAATCAAATTTTTTTATTCGATTAAAGAATTTAATCGAGTCGGTTTAAATAATTTAATTTTTATATCGAATTGAATTTAAATTTGAAAATTGATTCAAGTTAAGTATTGAATAATTAATTTGAAATTAAATTTGAATTCGACCTTTTAATTATATTGATTTAACTCAATTACACCTTTAATTTTAATATACTAAATAAAAAATAATTTTTTAATTTTTAACAAATTATATATAATTTTTATTAAATTTTAAATTGTGTTCCTTTCACAATATTTTTTTATCATGTCACTTATTTTATTTAAAATTATCGAATTTAAATTTTTTTTTTCAAGGAGCTATAAAACGACGTCGTAGAAGTCAATGATACTTCTGAAATACCTACTTTGCCACTGAAAGTCGAGAAATTATCAGATTCACCCCTGAATTTCAAATTCGAGAGCCGCGCTCATCTCTGCGCCGTTCTTTCTCTCTCAAAGAATCGAAAAAACTCCATTTTTTTTCTTTGTCCTTTCTTTTGCTGTAGATGGAAAATCGCGGCCATTGAAGAAGAAGAGAAACGTCGACGATGGAGAAGGTGTTGATTCAGATCTTCGAGAGGAAGAATCGAATAATCGACCACGCGAAGCAGCAAATCCTTCTCTTCGATCAACACCTCGCCAGCAAGTGTCTCATCGATGGCTTCATTCCTCCACCTTGGCTCCTCTCCGCTTCTCCCTCCGGTAATCTCTAGACCTGCTGAACTGTGTATTCTTGTTGTTAAAATATTGGTATCCATTTTTCATATCATATTCATGTAATGTCATTATGTCATATTTTAGATTACCGGTACAGTGATCTCCTTCTCCTCTCTTTTTTCAGCTTTACATTTCTCATTTCTTCCTTTTTAATTCATTTCAACAATTTCTTGGAGATAATGTGGTTTTAGTTTACTTATTAATGCTGAGATTTGATTCTTCTCCGTTGAAATCGTTAAATTTCTTCTTCTTTCGATTCTTTCGGGTTTTTTTTTTTATTATTTTACATAATCAATTTGACGTGTTCTTTAGCAATGGCGTCTTTAATTTCTTCATGAATTCCTTCTTTGAATTTGTTTGAAATTCTAATATTCGATTAGTGTTTGGATTTTACCTTTTAATTACTTCAATAATTTTGATTTAATGCTTAGTTCTACGTAGTGGTGAGAAAAAAATGAAAAAAAGAAAAAATCTATTTGAAATTATAGCATTCGGATTGATTTGGATTAATTTTTTTATTTCATTTAGATTAAATTCAAATATTAAATATATACATTAGATTCAAATCAAAAAATAAAAAATGAAAAAAAAATAAATTGAACCAAATTATATATTTTTATTAGTTTTTATATATATTTTAAATTTTTATTAAATAAAAATAATTATTTTATATTTAAATTTGTTTAAATATATTAAAATAATATATAAAAAATAAAAAATTTAAATTTAAAAAATCAATTAACTGAATAGAACTTATATAATTTGATTTAGTTTTAATACTACGAAAATTCATTTTGAATTTAAATCGAATTTTAAAAATTTATAATTTATATATTATCTAAAAAATTTAATCCAATTCAATCCAAACTGAAATGGTATCACTCCTGATTCTACGTAGAATAGAAAATGTTTGCAGGATTGTTTCCTTCATTTCAAGATTTTTTTTTCCTGCTTTCAAGTACATAAACTTGAATTAGTTTTTGAAAATTTTTCTTTGTTCAAAATTCATTTATCAAAGTGATCTTTTTATTTTTGGCCAAAAAAAGGGTCTTCTTTTCATTTGAATTCTTGATTGCATTTCGATTTTGGAACCTAATTAAGCAAGTACTTTAATTATGCGTCTCGTATTTGTTATCAGTTGGTTTAATGGATTTTTAAATAAGGAAATGTCTGCTTTTTAATTGCAGAATTGAATAAGGAAGATCGTATCTCAGGACTCTTACTTCCACATCCCCAACCCTCCATTCCTTACTGTTCTCTGTTCCAACAGCCAGTTGTTACAACAGATAATGTGCAGTTACCCCATGTTTTATGCTCCCGGATTGATGCTTCCAATGAAGGCTTAGATCAGTGGCTTTCTGGCAAAGCTGTTGAGCTTGATCCTAGTGCTACTTCTCCTCCTCAAGATTGTAGAGATGGGATGACCTCAGATATTTGTCCTGACCCTGGTTTATCTCTGGCAAGAATCCAGAGATCTAAGTCTAGGCAACGGGCTTTAGAGCACCGAAATAGTGCGAAAGCATGTAAAAATATTGAGAGTTTTGAAAAGAATGTTGATGCTGGCAGTAGTCAAAACAAAGGGTCTAAGATTGCTTCTTTACTGTCTGACCCTTTGGATAAGTTGGAATTGATCAAATCTGGTGATAATGTTGTGAGTTGTGTGGTGGGAAAGGAAGAAAGAGGGCAATGCAGAAGCAAGGAAAGGAGTGACAATGTTTTCTCTGGTAGAGTCACAGGATCAGGAAGTCCTATCGAACCTTCCAAGTCTGTGAGTGGGCCTTCACGTGCAGGCAACACTTCTTTTGTTGCAAAGCAGGATGGTATGATGCTCGAGGAATCCATCAGCAAATCAAGTCAACAGCCTGATGGTGTTCATGAGTTACTGGAATCAAAATTTGTCAAACCTGTTCGTAATACTGTCAGTTATGCAGTGAAAAATGAAGAAAGAGGTCAATGCAGGAACAAGGGTAGGGTTGAAGATATTTACTCCGGTAGAATCACAAGGTCAAGAAGTTCAGTTCAACCTCCAAGGTCTGTCAACAGTCCAACAAGTGCAGGGAAGATTTTTCCTGTTGCAAATGGTATTATGCTCAAAGAATCCATTAACAAATCAAGACTACAGCCTGAGACTGCTGCTGCGTTATTGCGATTTGTCAAACCAGTTGATAATATTGTTACTTGTGTGGTAGCAAAGAAAGAAAGAGGTCAATGCCAGAGCAAGGAAAGGGGTGAAAATATTTACTCTTGTAGGATCACAAGATCTAGAAGTTCTGTACAATCTCCCAAGTCTGTAAATGGGCTTTCATGTGCAGGAAAAAGTTCTGATGTTGCAAAGTGTGATGGCAATATGCTTATAGAATCCATCAGCAAATCAAAACAACAGCCTAATGTTGTCGATGAGTTATTGGAATTGGTAAAGCCTACTGTTATCTCTGATGAAAGTTGTGGTTCAAGGAAAGCAAGACACCACCGAAGCAAGGAAAAGGAAAACAATGTTTATCAAGGAAGATTAACTAGATCCAGAAGTTCTAGCCAACAGCATAACTGTGTGAATAAACATTTAAAGCTGGATAGCTGTCCCAATAGGAGCATGGATGATGGCATCTGTAAATCAATACAGCTGGCCTGCCATGCTAATGATCTTAAGGAGTTGATTAAGCTTTCTGACATCACCGATCAAAGTTGTGGGATAAAGGCCAAAACAAGTGACAACAAAACAAAAGAGAATGCTGTTGTAGATCAACATAATGATGGTAGAACCAGGTCAAAAGCTAATCGTAGTACAAATTTGTTTAAACCTGTCAATTCCTCTAATACTCTGGAGTATGAAGTTACACGGTCCAAATCAAAAGCTTCCAAAAGGTCCCCATACTTAAAGTCATCAGACAGGTCTGAAGGAGTTGAACTTAAGGAAGTTTCTGGCGCTCAAGCAAATTCCCAGATTTGTGCCGATGACAGTGGTCTGGCTGACTTGAATCAATGTGATGTGATTGTAGCAGACACTAATACAGATTCTGATGATTTAGTTGAGACTCTTTCAGCTGGTTCTGCATCTAACTTGGATGGTGCTAACGGTCCTCCTCTTGCAAAGTCAATGAATAGGAGTGGAAGAGTTGAGATGGAAGTCATAGGAACAAACCCACACTCTGCATCTGCTAAGATGGTGATGCCCAGGCAACTTGATTGTGATGATTTGGGAGAGCCCACTTTGAATGAAGCTTCTTGTCTTGTATCGGAGAGTGAAGAAGTGATCAAATCATTGGAGAAAAAGCCTCTTACACCACTTCCTTCTGCAGATAAGTTGGATGAAGTAAGTTCTGTGCACTACCAAGGAAAATACAACTCATCCCTTGAAAAGCAGTTCCCAGACGAGCGAGAAACTTTTAGTAAAGAAGAGAAACTGTCTGAAACAAATTTGAATAAGACTTCTGGCCCAGGTAGAACTTCAAGTTTAAACACTGATACAGGGATGGATTATGTCTTTGAGAAGGATTATGAGAAGCTTGAAGTAGTAAAATCTGTAATGCCAGTCCCAGAAGCAAGTAATGTTAATGCTGATGAATGTTGTGGTCCTGCAATTTCAGCAAATATTTATTTCTCTGGATTTTGTAGCCCTGCGTTGCTAAGGAAAGCAGATGTAACTTCCAGTGATGCAATTAAGCATCCTTGTGCTGCACTAATTGAAGAAACTAAAGGTCATTCTGTGGAACAGAAAACGGTGTCAAGTCCTTCTCATAATCGAAATGCAGACTCAATGGGAAGATGTATTGCTGATGGCGTTGATTCAGTTCTAGATCACGCACATGCAAAGTTCAGTGAAAATAAGGTTGCAATTCAGTCATTACAGCTGGGTAGACATTCTGGCTCCAATGTGGGTTCATGGCCTCATAAGCGGAGGAAGACTGATGGTCAACAAAGTAATTCCCTGTCTTTGTCATTAAGCTTGAAGGTAAAGCCAATTGAGTGTATTTACTGAGTTTTAGATAAGATAATCCAAAGCATATCTTAAATCTCAGCACTTATTCTGTATCTCAGGAGGAATATGTTCTGCAATTAAATGCCAATAAGTCTCTGGTTGGTGAAAAAGATCAGAATGCGGTATGTTACATAATGGGCGGATCTGAATCTTCCTTTGGTCTTAATTCCTTATTATTTTAATAACTAGGATTTCCAATGTGATACTGATTTCATATACTTTATCTTCCTTTTATAAAATGCTTACACTTTCACTAACTTTTACCTTTGTCATGAAAACGACTGACTAAGTTAAACTTATCTGTTAATTTCAATGATACTACTACCTCTTAAGAGGTTACTCTTGAATTGGTGAAAAACTTTAGGAGGCAAAAGATTTCACAGCCATTCCCAAGTCATCAGGATAGCAGCTATGCTTAGACTTACAGTGTTAATCTCAATAGATGGTTGCCATTGATTGCTAGTTTTCCTCTTAATCTCTCTTCTAATTGATCTGAAATTCTTGATCATTTCTTTTGCTTTGTGCCTATATTATTTTGAACTCAGTTACTATTAGAAGGTTGCATATTCTTTACTGGTCTTTTATATCGCCATTTCATAGGTAGCATACTTACATATCTGGAACAGATTATTTATAATTGCACAGGTTGCTTTCCTATTTGCCAGAGAACAGTTTTTATCTAAGCGAATGTCTTATTATTGTGCTTGCCAGGGGAAATGTACTTGGAAAGAGAGGGACAGAAATGAAAACACCCCTTCTATCTCGAGTTTGCCCCAAGAGACCCTTGAAAATTTTGAAGATCACTCAGCAGAGAAAACAAGAGCAGTAGATTCATCCAGCATTATATTTGGTTCAACAAGGAACTGCACTGCAGATGAGAACCAAATTTTGTTGAATGTTGGGGATAAATCAGAATGTGGAAATATTGAACGTTTGACTTGTGATGAAAGGAGCAAGAAAGAAAGCAAATCTCAACCTGGAGAAGATGGTGAGTTTTCAACTTGTCCCTCTAGTTCTCCGTGTCAACCACCTACAGACTTGATCAATGCTGATGAAAGCAGACCAGAAATTGAGGGGTTCATTATGCAGACAGACAGTGGACAAATATGCGTTGGTGGAGATGGAATTAGCTTTGATAAGTTGGGCCTTCCAAAGACTACAATAGAACGTGCTAGCCTTCTGGAGAAGCTTTGCAAGTCTGCTTGCATCCATACACCATTATCCCAATTTCCAACCACATATAGATTGCATCGAACAACTGATCTTTACCAGTCTGTTCCCAATGGACTTCTAGAATGCATGGAACTGAGGAGCACCCTTCCCGAAAATGATAATAGAAAAGGTCAACTTAAAGTTAGCACCAGTTGCTTCGGGGAGGATATGAACCATACTTTTGTAGGAGAATACTTTTCTGATTGCTTGCCATTTTCTAGTTCTCAAGTTACTGGAGATGTAAAGAAACCTTATCTTTCACCTGTTGGGAAGCTCTGGGATAGAATTCCATCAAACTCTGGTAGTTCAGAGAAGCAAGGTAGCCTAAATCCAGAGCTTCCCTGCATTAATGAAGAAAATGAGAACACAGACGAGGTGGTTGATGCATTTCAGGAAGGCACTGCTTCGGAAGTTGTGACTTGCTCTGTCACAAGGGAACCACTTGCCGAGATTAGGGAATGTCCAAACATTCCTGCACCAGTTTCTGGAGCTGAAAAATTTACTGTTAGAGATAGTCTGGACTCTGTGAACACAGCCTACAGCTTCACTGGGGCTGAGAATGGGATCAAGCAAAAGGTTAAGAAACACAATGGCAGCAAGAGGAGAGGTACAAAGAAATTGAAAGAGAACCAGAGTATACTACCAGGGGAAAATGGTACCAAAAGGGCAAGTGAATCACTTCGTAATAGGTTCAGTAAACCAAAACTATCTGAGAAAACCAGTCTGCGAAAAGGTGGGCCAAATTTCTCACAAAAGGAGTCAAAGTTCAATAATATAGTTTCAAATGTCACTTCGTTCATTCCAATTGTTCAGCAAAAACAAGCAGCTTCTATTATCACTGGTAATCATTTTTTTTTCACTTCTCCCTAGCATTTTATGAAAGCTGTATTACGTGTAGATTATGCAGATGCTTTAAGTTATCTTTAATTCCTTTTAGGGAAGAGAGATGTTAAAGTGAAGGCTCTGGAGGCTGCTGAAGCTGCAAAGAAACTTGCAGAAAAGAAAGAGAATGATCGTAAGATGAAGAAGGAGGCCTTGAAACTTGAACGAGCGAGGTTGGAGCAAAAAAATTTGAGGCAGTTGGAGCATGAGAAGAAAAAGAAAGAAGAAGAGCGAAAGAAAAAAGAGGCTGATTTGGCTGCAAAGAAGAGACAGAGGGAAGAAGAAGAAAGGTTGGAAAAAGAAAGAAAACGAAAGCGTATGGAGGATGTACGGAGGCAACAGCGTGCTCCTGTTGAAAAGTTATGTGCAAAGAAGGATGAGAAAGAAAAGAAGTGCCAAGCTCCGGTAAACCCACTGATGCTGTAAACAAGGTTTTGTTCTTAAATCTTTCTTGAATGGCATTAATTGTCGATATCTGCTTCAGGATGAGAGAGCACAAACAATGAAGGTTCCTAATGATGAAGCAGTGAAGCATGAGAAAATGCAAAACGAAATACCAGGCGAGAATGAAGGAACAATTTCAGAGATGGAATTTAGTGCAGCGGTTGTTTCAACTTATGATGCTGTAAAAGCTAGCACAGCCATTGAAGATTATAATGCAAAGGTAAAGTTCTTTTAGCACCATACTTTTCAGATCTTTATTTTTGGAAAAGTCATTTATCGTCAAGATATTATCCCTTCTTTGGCTTAAATCAAAGGAATTTTAAGAGTTCCTCTCAGTATTACTGCTATATTAAACTATAAATGCTATGTCTCTTCATCGTTAAACTATCTGAAAAGCTTTTTGATCAGACAATGTTAAGCCTTATGCATGAAGTGCTCAAGTATTCTCTCAGTTTTCAGTGAGAATAGTACGTGTACACTAAAAAAAAGCTACATCTGCAATTGAAATGAGATTTTCTTACGAGAGTGCAACTTAAGGAGAATTGTTATGAAAAGCTTGACAGCAGCTGTGCTGCAACAAACTAATGAAATGGACCTTTAGGATTCAACTGCGACACCTTTCAAACAGATTTATGCATCTCTTTGTTGCAATGTTTTGTGACATCAAGGAGACTAAAGACGATTACTCCTTTATTCAAGGCTTATATATTTTGCTATATTGATTCCACTTTAACTGAAACCATCTCTTGGGCATTTCTTGTGCTAATTTCAATGGTTGTCAAATATTTTTCATTAGAGCCTCATGTGGAGACTTGACCTTTCTCAGGTAATGAGCACCATGGATAGAGCAACAGAGAGCAATAGCCTGATTGCAGATACAAGCCAGGAACAATCATATGATATTTCTCCATACAAAGTTTCGGACGATGAAGAAGAAGAAGAAGATGATGATGAACCCAATAGCAAATTTATTCCTTCATGGGCCAGGTATGTAACTCAAATTTTCATCCTAAAATAAGTTTCCAATTCCAGCTTAAGATGTTTTCAGCTCTTTGTTCCAGAAAACCAGTCTTTGACTCTTGGTGACTTTTGCAGCAAAAATCATGTTGCTCTAGTTGTCACTTCCCAGCAAAAAGTGGATCCAGAAATAATATTCCCCCCAGAAAGCTTTCTCAGTATTGCTCAAGGTGATATTGTACAAACTGTTAAATCTATACTATGTCATTTGCTGTTGAACTAAGAAGTATTTTCTTTCATAGTTCTCTTGCCAAGAAAGCTCCAGCAAAATCGTGCCAGTTAAATTGGATGGTACAGTTTTGAAAACCATTGTATCTTCTGCTGACTCAATGAGAGCTCTTGCTTAGGATATAAAGGTACACTGTCTCTTCAGTTTCACTGGCCTTATCTTCTTGGGATCGGTAACTAGTGTAGGCCTAAATCACATGCTGAGGCAACTACCAATTTATAAAAACCGAACCTCCATGGATAGAATTGACAATTTAAAACAATGATATCACACAAAAATGATTAAAAATATATATATGATTTAAAATTTTAACAAAAATCATATAAGAGTTTAATAAAAAATATATATATTTCATTTTTTTTGTACATCATGCAATTTTTATATTTTACATAAGATGAACACACAGAATTGTCGGTTTATCTATAGATATTCTCCATTCAAGTGAGTTATGTCTGTCATTTTCTTCATGGCTTGAAATTGGGGTTGGTAATCCATTCTGAATTCATCAGGTTTTGACCTTACTCGACCTTATAGAATTAAATTTTTTTTTTTAATTAAAATTTTTATTTTTAAATAAGTTGGAGTTAGGTTTTAAGCAAACTCATCCCTCTTCGACCTTATATATATAATATTTTTATAATTTATTTAATTTTATATTTATATTAAAAATATTATTTTATTTAATAAAATATTTTATTAATTTCAAATAAAATTAGGTCAATTAAAATTTTATGCATATTTAAATATGATTGGATTAAATATTAAAAATAATATTTTAATATCGAATCAAATTTTTATTATATATAGTTAAATTGAGTTCAAAACGGAAAAAAAAAAACCCTCTTGTCTCGTTGTTATTTCTACTTGAAATATTCTAATGAATATTTGCTTTTAGTGGCAGAGTCAACAGAGACTTACTGGAAGACTAAGAACAGGTGATTACTGATTACTGATTCCAACATTTCTTTTGCTTTGCTGAAGATTGCCAAAAATGTAGCAAATGATTTATATCCTAACTGCTAACAGCTAAGAGCTTACAAATTCGAAGTTGCCAATGTTAATGGCTGTTGTCTAACCCTCTTATTGTTCAATGACATAATTCAACTCAATAACTCAGCGCCATTGAAGCTGCAGCAAGTAATCCAAAGTAAGTTTTGTACCAGTTCTCAATCCCTCCATAAACACTGCTTCCATCATCCTGGCTGATAGCAATTCCTAGAATTTGAAGCCCAGAAGTATCTTATAAATTTAAGAGGTATTTGATCTTTTTAATAACTTTTGTACCTGTTCGTAAAATACAATAAAGTTTTGCAGACAAAAAGGTTGAAACAATATAATTTTATTTAAATGAATGATAAGATTAACTTTGGTGAAATTAAAATTAATAATAAAGTTATGACAGCTACAATTAAAAAAAAATTACTGAAGTTATTAAAAAAATTTAATAAGAAATTTATTTTAAATAAATTTTATTAAAATTGATATTTAAATTTAACTAATAATATAATAAATTTAATTATATTAAATAAAAAATACGGTAAAATTTATATATAATAAAAAATAATTCAAATAGACGAATTGTTAAATTTAGATTCAATTTTAAATTTAAGAAATTGTGTCCCATATATGTAGGGGACAAATTGTGTATTTCTGTAACGGCTCCATGACGTGAAAATGCTATGGCAATTAGGATTTTCATTTTCTACGTTGTGATCCATTTTCTATGTTGCCGTTAGATTCCATATATATAATTAAAAAATTCTTAGAGGGTCTGCAATTCACCCAAAAAGCTGTAAAGTTTGACATTCCAAGCCCAAATCTTTTTCAAATCACCGCCCAAAAGGTCCACCTTGAAGTAAGTACTTCTCATGGAATTTAGCGGTGACAGATTTACATTATAATGGGCTGTCAGACGTAACAGTTTAATATGGTACGAAAAAAGTGTGACAATAGTTTTATATATTATTTTTAAATTTAATAAAATAAAAATATATTTTATATTTTTAATTAATATAAAATATAACATATAATTTTTATATAAAATATAATATAAATATATAAATTTTAATATTTTATATAATATAAATACACAAATAATTAACTCTAGATAATCAAAAATTAAAAAATAAAAAAATTTAAAAGAAAATTTTATGCTAGACACTTATCTTTTTTAGATATTTTAAAAATTAAAAAATAAAATTTATAAAAGACCTTTCAATGAACATCTTAAAAAAAAATTTTTGAACATCATTTACATGGGTAAAATTTAAAATTTTATTAATAAATTTTTATATATATTATAAGTAAATACTCTTCTAAAAAAAATTAAATCCTCCACTAGAATTTAGCATCATTATTATTCATTCATGGGATGAAGGATTTAAGGATATCGGGTCCAAATTGTTTAATCCTTTTCTAATCATTTTCCATTTTAAAAACTTTGTTTCACTCATATAAATTTGGCAATTCATTCCTTTAAAAATATCATTTTAGAATTGAAAATAAAATTATATATCATCTTATTTTTTATATAAAAAAGTGTTGTTTGAATTTAAGTTATTGAGTAAATCTGTAAATGAACAAAATATTTAATGAACAAATTATAAATTTAATAATAAATATATTATTTTGCAATTTCAATTCCAACCCCATTAATTTTATATTTGTGGGGTCAGCCTATCATCATTATTGGGTCAAATGTGAACTTGGTTAAAGGAATCAAATTTATTCACGTGGCTGTGGCAGAAATAATTCTAATAAATAATAATAATTGATCAGAATGCACAGTCCATAATCTATTAACAAGCCCCCACCCACCTTGAAAACGGTCACTTTTGAAAACCCCTACCAAATATAAGTTTGGATCTAAGATATAAAAATATAAAAAATTTGTATAATTTAAATTTTAATAAAAATTATATATAATTTTAATAAATATTAAAAAATATATTTTGTATTTAATAAATTAACATAAATTATAATACAAAAATATTCGTATTTACACATTTTATCTCAAATAAATAATTTATATTATGAATGATAACAATTTAAATTAGATTGAATTCAATTCAAATTTTTTTAAATATTACATAATATTATAAAGTTTTAAAATTTAATTCGAATGCGAATCGATTCTTAATATAATTTGATTTGATTTAATCAAAATTTATTGGTTTAGTTGATTTTTTTTCAAATTTAATTTTTTAATATATTATTTTAATATAAAATTTTAATATTTTTAAATAAATTTTGATATAAAATTATTATTTTTATTTTATAAAAATTTAAAAAATATATAAAGCTAATAAAAATATAAAATATATAATTTGATCTAATTTAATTTTTTGAATTTTTTACTTTTTAATTCAAAATTCAAAATTCAATTTAAATTTAATATATATATTTAATATTCGAATCAAATATTAAAATCGATTTAAATTAAATCAAACATTACAATTTTCAATAATTCTGATTTTTTCTAATTTTTTTCGCCCCTAATTGTAGCACCATTCCCCCAATCGACATCAATATTTCTAACCGTTTTACTATCATATTATTAAAGTGTATATATATATATATATATATATATATATATATATATATATATAAGAACCTATGAAAAATATTCTCTTTTCTTTTTCTTCAAAACCCCACAGGCGCCTATTTTCCAACAGTTTAAACCACATTTCCCCACTTCTCTTGTCTCTTTCTCTGTTTTCTCATGAATTCTCTTTGCAGAAGCTTCAGATTTTCATAGCTTGTATCAATTACAACCTTTCATTTATTGCAGAAAGCTCCAGTTTTGGTAGTTTCATTTCCATTCCAAGAATCTGATCCCAACAAAACAATGCTACCAACAAGCCTTCTTGTTTTCTTGCTTCTCTTCACCATTCCCTTCACCTTCTTGGCTGAAAACACCACCTTTGATTTCCCATTCTTCACTGTCAGGAACCTCACTCTTCTTGGTGATTCCCATCTTAAAACTGGCGTTATAGGCCTCACCAGGGAGCTTGGTGTTCCTTGTTCAAGCTCAGGCAGCTTTATCTATGGCAAACCAATTCGTTTTTTTGACCAAGAATCCAATATCACAGCTTCTTTTTCCACAACTTTCTCTTTTGCCATCAACAATGTCAATCCACGCTCTTTTGGTGATGGCTTAACATTTTTTCTTTCACCTGATAACCAAACTCTTGGGAGTCCAGGTGGGTATCTTGGTCTCGTTAACTCGTCAGCATTGACCAAGAACAAGTTTTTAGCCATTGAATTTGATACCAAGCTTGATACTCAATTCAATGACCCGAATGAAAACCATGTTGGTTTAGATATTAACGAGCTCAATTCAATCAAGACAGCTGATGCATTGTTGCAAGATATTGATTTAAAGAGTGGGAATTTGATCACTGCTTGGATTGATTACAAGAATGATTTGAGGGTCTTGAATGTTTTCTTGAGCTATTCAACTTTAAAGCCTCCAACGCCATTATTGTCTGTGGATATTGACTTTTCTGCTTATCTTAAAGAGGATATGTTTGTTGGCTTTTCAGCTTCAACAGAAGGAAGCACTGAAGTTCATTTGATTGAGAATTGGAGTTTCAAGACCTTTGGTTTCCTTCCTGTGAGACCAAGATCACATCCTCATAATGTGTCTGATAGTTCAGTTACAATAATATCAGATGTTCCAGTGTCAAATTCTACTAATAAACACCACAAGAGGCTTGGTTTAGGGCTTGGGATTGCCGGTCCAGCTTTCTTTTTTGTGGTTCTTGTTGTTTTTGGTTATGTTTCTGTGAAGAAATGGATGGATATGAGAACAGAAAAGTGTCTCAAATCAGAGATTTTGACAGGGCCAAGGGAGTTTAGTTACAAACAGCTATGTGCAGCCACAAGAGGGTTTCACTCAAGTAGAATCATCGGACGTGGTGCATTTGGAAATGTTTACAAGGCTATTTTCGTTTCTTCAGGGACTGTTGGTGCAGTGAAAAGATCAAAACAATCCCATGAAGGTAAAACTGAATTTCTTGCTGAATTGTCCATTATAGCTTGTTTGAGGCACAAAAATCTTGTTCAGCTACAAGGTTGGTGTGCTGAGAAGGGTGAATTGCTACTTGTTTATGACTTTATGCCTAATGGAAGCCTTGATAAGGTGCTTCATCCAGAACCTGAGACTGGCATATTGCTGACATGGTCCCATAGGCTCAACATTGCTATTGGATTGGCCTGTGTCTTATCATACCTGCACCAAGAATGTGAGCAGCAAGTCATTCACAGAGACATAAAGACAAGTAATATAATGCTTGATGGGAACTTTAATCCAAGACTTGGTGATTTTGGATTGGCAAGGCTGATGGATCATGACAAGAGTCCAGTTTCAACACTTACTGCTGGAACCATGGGCTACCTTGCTCCTGAGTATCTTCAGTATGGGAAAGCAACAGAGAAAACTGATGTTTTCAGCTATGGTGTTGTTATTCTTGAAGTGGCGTGTGGTAGGAGGCCAATTGAGAGGGAACAAAACAGCCAGAAAATGGTTAATTTGGTTGACTGGGTATGGGGATTGCATGGTCAGGGAAGGATCACTGAAGCTGCTGACAAAAGGTTGAATGGGGATTTCATAGAGGAAGAAATGAGGAAGCTGCTGCTTGTAGGTTTGAGTTGTGCACACCCTGATAGTGCTGAGAGGCCTTCAATCAGAAGAGTTCTTCAGATCCTTAATAATGAGGCAGAGCCAATAGCTGTGCCAAAGATGAAACCCTGTCTCACTTTCTCTTGTAGCTTAACTGTTGAGGACATTGTTTCCGATGATTAACAACACAAAACAACTGCTTGAGTTAGATTTCATTTTCTCAGATACAAAATTCATTGATTGTTTGATTCTTTCATTGTGTTTTAGAGCATTATTACAGTGTTAATTCGTTTAAGTTTGCCAAGTTCACTAGTCTGAGTTCAAAAGTACTGTATTGAACTATGTGGTCTCTTTCTGTAATCTGAGGATAATATGCTTTCCAAAGTTCTGAGATGTCCCTTCTCTGATCTGCCACTGCTAGTTCATCTGATTCGTTCCATTGGTTGAGTTAGATTTAGACTCTTGCCCCTAATTTGTAATACCCCAATCCCATATATCAGAGGATATTCTGAAGATCCATTTTATTATATATGTAGAGACTTTGTAGGATAAAACTATGAGACTTTAGACCAAAACCGACCAAAACTGACAAATTCATATTACATTCAAATTTCATAGTTGTTTCCTGAGTAGTTCTTTGCTTCCCATGTGACAAGTGAACTCACAGCTCTTTGATCCATGTTATAGTTTTTAAGCCTCCTGCATTGATCTTCCATCTGTAGCTTGTTTGAATCATGCCTCCAATCCAATACCTCATCACATGTTGCCATCAGCAGAAACAAAGAGAAAAGGTGTTTAGAATATCTTTCAATTTCATGTACTTAAACAAATCATGGGTGTCCATTTATCATCCTTTTCTTCCACAAATCTAATGAGTAATAATATAAAGAATCTATCAATGTTAGTGTGATGAGCTTCTGATGCAATCAAAACAAACATAACTGTATGTTAAACATATAGTTTTATGAATGTAGGACTTAAAAGTCTAAAACATATGATGAACCCAGAGTTTAACTCATTTGATTCATGCAAATAACCCTTAAGAGGTAACATCTTACAGGTCTGAAGTTCATATAATAGCACTTCCAATCCTTTTAATTTCAGTGATTAGAGTTTGATTTTTGATAATCTCAAATAAAAAAAAATACTGGTTAGTAGTACATATTCGGAACAAAATTTATTTGTTTAATTGTTCAATACTTTAATTGAGCAGAAAATAATTAGAATAAACTAACCATTCAAAAGAGACATGCAATCTGGTCAAGAATAGGAATTATATTTGGAAGACAAAGTATTATTCATGTACAGAAGATGGCTTAAAAATTGCCATCAAAATGTAACCTTCATTTCGAATTCAGAACCTACATCTGTATACCAAAATCTCGATGTCATACAGATTACACAATGAAGTAAGAGGGAAACGAGCTCAAAAAATGGCCTTACAGCCCAAGTTACAAATTAGTGGTTCTTCTAATCTTTTCCACTTTAAGAAATGAATCAATGATCTCATCACATGTCAACTGTTTCTTTGATGAATCATTCCCTACATCCTCTGTCTTTCTTCTCTTGGATTTTTCAACAGCCTCTGGGGTATCCGATGCATTTTCCCCTACATTGGATGGTATCGATTCGGTCTTCCATTTGATACCTACAGCCTCTGCTTGATCTGCAAATAACACTTCTGACATAGGTGACGCACAGATCTCTTTATAAGTTTCATATCTAGCGGCATAAGTATTTCCACCTTCCAATAGTTGTGAAAGAGGATGCAAAACCGAAATTGCATCGTTAGTTTGCTCCAGGCTTTCTTTCAAAATCAGAAAGTCTGATACCAACTCCGACTTGCTGAATTGAACGAAGACCGCAGTTTGATCAATACGGTAGATGGAAATAACAGAGGTAGGGCCAAGGGTTTTGCAGATGCATTCTCTTATCACACCAGGTTTCAGCTGTGATGGGAATCCCCAGATTAAAACACTGTTCTCAAATAAGACTGGTGGAAATCGCTTTCTTTTGATATTAGAGCCCAACAACTCTGCAGTCTGGTTACCAGTCCTTAGATCGATAATGTCTCCATTAATCCAACTCAGATACAGAAGGTTCACGTGCTTCTGGAGCTTTTCATTCTGGGCAAGATTTTCAGAAGGTGAATGAAGTTGAAAATCAATGCCTAGGTGACTGCACGCCTGTGCAAACACACAGCCTGTCATAAAAGCATCATAGCCAGCTTCATGCTTGGCTCCAGAGTTCCAATCAGAGGACCTGCAAGTTAAAGCTCAGTTTTAGTGTAAAAGGACCTACAGTTGGCTCCTCAACTTGGGAAAGGAGCATTATAGATTCATTATTAATGCTAACATCCATCAAAAAATGCCCGTGTTTAGTTTATTAGTCTCAAGGGGTGATAAAGGGTAATGAGATCTCTCTAATAAATATGCAAAAAAAAAAAGAGCTAATATTAAGCTATACGATTGAGATTGCAAAACTAGCCAGAATTTAAGAGAGGAGAGAAAGGGAGAGGATAGAGAGGGAAGTTCCAGCTATTGTGATAAAATGAATCAACAGCTTTTAACCTATACATTTTAGGGAGAGTTGGGAAAGGGAAGGCAAACCTCATGTCATCCACATGGACTTCAACTTTAACATATGGCTGAGAAGGCAGAAGTTTACTTTTAAACCCGTGAGCAATTTCTGGGCATAATAAGGAAAATGCCGAGGATAATGATGTGCTAGATTTCTTTATCTGCCGTTGTAATGTGTAGTCAGCATTCAATAGTATTTTGGTGTCAATGATATTTGGGAAGTACTTGTTAATGCAGGAGACAAATTCTTCAGCAGTCAAAGGAAGAGGACCTAGGAATTTGCTGTGCATGTGAGCAATATCTGTATCACCAAAATAAAAGCATTTCAGTAATCTATTTGACTAATATGACATCTCTAACTTGAGACTAGTATGCATACCTAGGATGCAGTTGTGACCAACAATCAACTTATTTTCTGAGGAAAGGAGATCAATCACATGACGAAACCCCACTGCAGCATTTATCTTCATTTCTGCCCTTCTGTGATGCTCTTTCTTCACCTCCTCCTACAGGAAATCGGGGCACAGGAGAAGAGTTATCACAACATGCAAATGATGTCACACCAAATGCAGCAGTCAGATTCATATTTCCATTTATATAGCCTCAGTATGTAATTTCAGCACCATCAGGTTTGTGCATAAGATTACATTCATACCAACATCCATGACATGGTCAGCTTTTTTTTTTTTTCCCATTTACTGCACTCATGAACTTAAATTCTCAGAAAGCATTGCCAGGCAAAATGCAGACCCATTCTACCTCTGGAAGAAAACAAATAGAATAGAATCTATGGTTCAAAATTTTAGAAATTTCTCTAACATGAACACAGGAAATAGTGTTGCATATAGAAGAAAAGTAGAATATTCATCATCTAATATATGAAACCAATTGACAGATCTTCGTTACAGATGTAGTGTATCTTACCACAAGTCTATCCTTATCACTCTCTGAATCTGTATAAACCACTAATTCTTGTGAGGAACTTTCACCATTGAAATGAACATAAGTAAGATCTTTGAAATGCTTCCTTGTGACCTGCAGTAAAATCTTATTTCTTCATATAAAGCCATTGAAAAGATAATTCTTGTTAAAACTATAACTTAATGATACAAGAATAAAATGGTCTTAAAGAATATTTCCAAATGAAAGCCGCAATGAAGAGGCTAAATATAGGAGATCAGATAAAATGAGAAGACATTATAAATAGAGTCAGACAGAGAAGCAACAACATATACCATTCGAATCAGACTAAGTTGATGAGAAGTGAATCCATTCAAACTCAGAGCAGGACGCATCTTGAAGAAAACTGTTTGAAATTGTTGATTTAAGTCATCCGAAACCCCATGACCTTGAGACCCACTGACCCTATGTTGTAACAACTCATCACGCCATTCACTCAATCTTTTCTTCATTCTTTCAGCGAAGAGAACATCTGCCACTCGGACCAATGGCAAGTCCATTGTTTCTCTAAAATCATGCGACGGATTAGTTAACTGATCTCCATACAGTGATTTTAATCTCTTTCGGGCCTCATCTTCTTGTCCTCTGGATAAGTAAGATACTCCTGAGATGACAATTCTCAAGGTAAGGGCAACTTAGAAGAAACTGTATCTCAAGCATCAAAGGAAACAATGATGAATTGGGACATGGAAGATAAGTAAAAGAACCTTCATGTATGCAAGCATTGAAATCAAACAGGTGTTTAGCCAAAAAATCCACAGAAGTTGTCTGGCAGAGGAATTCATAAGAGGGCCCATCAAGTTGAATCTCTTGACGAGGAAATACAAAGAAATTGTGCCTGTCAAGGAAATTATGCAGTCGAATTCATTAATAAGAACATGATTCAAAGACTCAATTTTGCAGATTAAAGGGAAAACAAAGATCCTACTTCCTTTCCTCATAGCAATTAAAATGAATTTACACCAAAGTTCTTTCTTTTCCTTTTCTTTCTCCCGTTGTTCTTGTTAACTTTACCATACATCCTTTTAGTTTTTGCCAAATACATATACAATTTTTTCTAAAATTTTAAACCATGTCACTTTCTCTTTTTTTCGTATTATTTTTGTATCATCCCATTGTGTTGTGTTTAGAGTATTTAGAACTGCAAGATCTATCTTTCCATGTAAAGAACTTAAATTCCCTTTTCTTTTCCTCTTCTTTCTTAATTTATCATCAATCAAACAACTAAAACAGCTCAAATTAAGCTAAATTCAACCATCCAAAACCATTTTTTCTCTAAAATAACAAGAAATGACCCCTCATTTTCACCATGAAATGGCATTAACAATAAGTATAAACATAAACTTCAAAAGAAAAGAAAAACAAAATTTGATATGGATTATTTTCTTAACAAGTATTAAGTATTTATGGCATAAGGGTCAAAAAAGCCCTCGAATAAAAATTCAATAATCATTTAAGCCTTTGATAATTTATTGCAATCAATCGAATCTTCTATTTCAAATCAATGGAACCCTTAAACATCTATTTTCATTCAATTGAACCCTTATGATGTATTTTCACGCAATTAAGCCCTCATTACACGAAAACAACAGGAGCTTGGATGATTATTGAATTTTAGTTCAAGGGCCTTTTTTTACCCTTTCACCAATATTTATTCAAATGAGGGAAAGAGAAAACTAACGGTTGAGCAATAAAAATTGCTTAAATGAATCCCAGCGAAAAGGGCAAACGCCGAACTGAAGAACAGCGAATTTTTCGGCGGAATCTTTCACTTTAAGATACCGAATATCGAACCGGTCAAACTCGAATGATTCCCGCCATGAAGCGCTAGTGACCCCCGTCATCTCCATGTCGATGGCCACGAAGTCGGCTGCTCGCACGTGAGAACGGAGTTCAACGAGCACGGAGTCGAAGTTGGATCGTGTCACGTGCTTCAGAGGGAACGTTGAGGAAGGTGTGGGAGTGGTGGAGAAGGCACGTGATAGGACACGTGAGAGGAATAAGGCCCGCCTGGGCCAGTGGTTTGTGGTGTTCATGAGAGCATGATGGTGGCAGCAGCAGCGGCGGGTGTGGTGGTGGTGGGGGGTTTTAGAAGGGGATATAGGATGAGATGTGGTTTTGGGTTTTTGGGCCATTGGGCCTCGAGGTTTAAACCTTAAAGTTGTAGGCCGTAAAAAAGCCGAAGCAGTTGGATGCCAAACGATGTCGTTTTGTGTGTATTTAAATTTATTTTTTTCTTTCCTATATTTTTGGGATTTTCCCCTTTTTTTTTTAAAATTGATATAAAACCTCCTTTTTTTTTTTTTTTATAGTTTACCTAGACATATACCTTTAAAAAATTTTGATATATATTTTTTAATATATATAAATATATATATTATGTTCGAAATGTACAATTCAATAATCAAATCGATATAATAAAAATTTTAAATTTAAATTTGACTTAAAATTTATTATTTAAAACTTGACTTGAATTAAATTAAATTTTAAATTTTAAACTCAAACTCAGCTTGAGATAAAAGTTACATTATGAATTCATTCGATTAAGTTTATTTATCAAATAAAAATAGAGTTTTATTCTATTGACTTCAAGCTTAATTATTTGTGTTCGAATTTAAACTTAAATTCAAATTTATATATATAAATAAAATTATAATTTTTTAATTAAATAATAATTAAATATATTAAAATATAAAAATTCGATGAAACTTGTAAATTATTGAAGTCGAATATTAAAAATCTCGAACTCGAATGTCTTGATAAGTCAAACTATTTAAATTTGACTTGATAATAATTGAATCAAATTCAAGTTTTATCTAAATTGAATCCAAATAACTTACTATCACTAATATATCATTTATATTTATACTTCAAACCTATAAAATATAATTTTTAAAAGTGATTATATAAATTAACTAACACTGGATAATCCATTTAACAACGATGTTAATGCATTAATCATGAAAAAAGTACGTATCGAATTGAGGACGCAAGTTCGAACTTTAGTCGTAACCCAAAAGACAAAAAAAAAAAAAAAATTGTATCTGGCCAACGCGTCCATAAGCTCACCAACGCTGCGAACGACCGGCTGGTTTTACTCAACTGTATTGAGCTTTAACATTCCATGAACAGGCTCCTCAAGCAGCTGCTATTGTCATCACCAGGCTGCAACCATCAGATTCCCTGGTTATCAACTTGTATCTTGAGGCAATATGTTAGGCTAAAGCATAGGCATGATCTCTTTCTCAAGGGCCATGCTGAAGCATTGGTAAAATCTTTATCCATCACCACTGTATAGTTCCATGGCAGATTCAATAAAGTAGGGTTGATTATTTGATGCTGTAAGCATGAGCTCTTCACTGCATTGGCTCAGTACTACATAGAGAACTCGGTTGTCCAGTGAGCTCTTCACAAGGTCCGAACAAGACGAGCTGCAAAGGCTCCATCGAGGGAATGTTTTACAGGATCGGAGTGATAGAAGCCTCGTTTTGTAACAAAATCAGATGGTACATATCTACCCACAGGATCTATTCTGAATTCCTGAAAAGGGAAGTTAAGACAACAATCAAGTCAGCTAATCTTATGCTTAAAGATCTGAAAATTGTAATGTGCTCTCTATTAGCACAGAGGTTCAGGAAAAAGCCATTGCTCTTACAGGATGCCTGACAAGAAATGCATCCACCCTGTCTTCGTTCTCTTCGGGATCAATCGAGCAGGTACTATATATTAATACTCCTTGTGGGTTCACCAATCTATAAATTCCAAACAAATACATTCAAACAAAGAGTAAGACACTACGTATAGACGAAAGTATAGATCTCACATGGAAGCTGCATCAAGGAGCTCATCCTGCAAATTTTTGAGTTCTTCCATATCTTCTAATCTTCTATTCCAGCGCAAATCTGCTCTCTTCAAATCAGTAAAAGAAGAAAAAAGAGCGGTTAGTTATACCTTAACAATATGGTTAAAAGCTCAACGCGCCAGAATAGAAAAGTTGGTAACTGGATCAGAAGAAAATCTTAAACATGGTTAAAAGCTTGCTAAAAGCGAACGCTTAATGATACATGGTCATATCAAGTTACCTTGGAGAGAACACCTAGTCCTGAACAGGGAGCATCTAACAAAACTTTATGAGATTTCAGTGGGCTATTGACCTACAAATTTTAGAGTAGAGATATATGTAAGAAGTTCCGAATTCCTTGAAATTTTTAAGCTTTTAAGAGGGCAAGCAATTACCGCAAAGGTACGAAGATCAGCATGGATTGTGGCAACGACACCATCAACTTTTTGCATCTGGGCCGTCTCTGTAAGAATCCTCAAACGACCTACGTTTATGTCAATTGCGCGCACTTTGCCTAATAAGAACCAACAACATGAATAAGTTCTTGCATCATCTGATTATAAGAAATTATAAAATCAAATTAACATGGCCAAATAAGTTCTAAATGCAGACCGTGCTTCGTGTTATTAACTAAAAGATTCTGCCAGACCAGAAGGCAATCTCAAGTTGGAAGATCTCATTCTTATTGTGTGTGCATATACACGAGTGCAAAAGAGGAGTTAATATAAAAATGAAATATTTTGATGCCTGAAAATGACTGTTAAGTAAGTTTAAGCAATAAACAAGTTCTTATGCCCATCAAAAGAAGCCTGTAATATACCTTTACCACTCAAATGAGATGCCATGTAAAGAGTCTTTCCTCCGGGAGCAGCACAACAGTCGATAATGTCATCACCAGGTTGAGGATTCACAACAGAAACTACTAGACCTGAAATGAAGTTGTCATATAATTCAAAGGACAAGTTGTATAAAGTCCAAATCATGTCCAGAAGAATTAGAAAGGAAAAAACAATTTCAATTGATCAAGAAATAAAAAGAGCATTACCAACATACTGTAATGTTATTGTAATATATCATACTTTGATTATGTATCTTTAACTTTTATTCATCCAAATGAGCTTTGGGATGGTGAACTTTACCTGCACTTTCATCCTGGACAGAACAGATGCCTTCTTTCAGCAACCCCGCTCGTATGACATTCTGAAATTGGATAAGTAGGTGATCAAGATATCGAACGCTGAACAGTAATTTCAGTTTCTTGATAATCATGACTATTGGTTGTTACAGGTGCCAAACAAAGTGCTTTTTTTTGGTAGAGACACCGTAATTTACTCTCAGAAAGAAAGACAAACTACATTTGATGTATCAATGTGAATGTCAAAACAACAAATTTCAACTTACAACACAGTTAGTAGCCACATAGTATAGGCTCCAAAGTGGCGCCCATACGATATATGAGCATAGAACTCATGTTGGACAAAATCATAAATCAAACACCTACCTGCAAACCAATTTTTACACGGACAAAATCATCCAAATGCGAAGAAACCTCATGTGGGACCTGCAGTCAAAAATAGAAAATTAATAATATGGGGCACCGTATGGTAGTAAGTTATAACAGATAAAACACCATGTGCATGCATAAGCATGAGAAAATAAAAGTGGGGGTGATGGAAGAATTCGATAATAAAAGTTAAGTACATTTAGTATTAAAGGGAAACACATACTTAATGCAATATTGCTAGAAGCAATACTATCATGTGCACATTTTGCATAACCTCAAATTTTTAATGGAATAGAGGAAAAATGGAAACTACAAACAGCAATCAAGCACCTGCAACGAATTAAGCTGCGTCACAAGGTCATCTCTACTAATTCCTTTTGCAGAGTTTGCCCTGACCTCAGTATCAAACAAGTTAGTCTTAGATTCAAAACGACATGAATAAGAAAGCAAAATGTGGCCAAAAACCTTAAGCTGAAACTGGGATCACTATTGTTCCACATCATCAGCCGAATTGCTTCTTCTTGTCCAAGATACTTTGTCCATCGCCTTACCATCCACTAGAAAATAATAAATAGGTAGCATAAAAGTTAGCAACAAGGATATGGACAAAGTTAGGAAATTATGAAATAAAACAATGCTTTATTCTTCAATTTACAAATTGATGACAAATCAAAGATCAAGTTGGCAGCCAGGATTGTGAAACTACAATCCCAAGTTATCCTATAGGAACTACAAACAAAGTTTACTATCACAGACTTACAACAGGATGAGAATAAAGAGTTGCAAGAGCACGTGCTTGTGCACGATCATCACCTTCCAATTTGGGTAGAGGAAGGGAGTTATTTTCCTGCAAACCACAAGTGAAGAAGATGTAAGAACCTGATGATTGCTCATTGTTTCAATCACATAAAAAGAAAGTGGCAAACCTTAACCAAAACTAACTTCCGAAGAATCCCATTGACCATGTTACCAGCACCAGGCCGAAGAGCAACCTTTGCAAGTTTCACATTCTGCACTTATACATAACAAAGTTGACAACAAAAAAGATTTTGGGCCAGAATCTTATCTCAGGTCAGATCCAAGTTGACATATTTTATCACATATAGAGCTTTCAGAGTTAAAAAACTTGATAATTCCCTCATGCAGGATCATCAAGGTAGAAAGAAGAAAGAAACATACAGTTATAACAAAAATGAACAGATTTTACCTCATCTACAACAGCATATGGTGGCATATTAAGCTTGAGAATCTCGTAGAAACCAATTCGGAGAATCTAAAAGCATAGACAAGAGAAAATAAAATATATTCAGGTTCCAACACTCCAAATTGACTCTGCTTTGTTTGTCAGCACAGAAGCAAGTAATTCGGAAGAGGAAATGCATAAACTAGTAGATTGTTATCAATGAAATCCACTTTATGAAGCCAGCTTAAAGTATTAAAATAAATAAGTAAAAACCACATAAGAGTGAATGAATAATACTTTTTCCAAAAACATAACCTTTTAAGGCTAGTTAGTACTTCCACATTGAATATGCCACTTGCATACTTGAGAATGCTACTAATAAAACGAAAAAGCATATTTGACAATGCGGTAGTAAGAACAGAACCATACAAAATATCTGAATAAAAAGTACCTGTAAAAGAAGCGGTTCCATGCTTCTAAAGACACTTTCATCATGGCATAGTGATCCAATTATATGATCAAGATATCTCCTCCAGCGAATGGTGCCTCCAACAATATCTGTAACCTATAACATTCCACACATATGACTTTTTTTGAAAACATAATGCCATTTATATGACTTGTTTAAATTAATCTAGAAATTCCTTACAAAAAGCATTTCTAACATCTGTTAGAAATGGAGAAACACAAGATACAGCATGTTTAAACTAGATTAAGCATTAACATTAGGAAGATAAAACTCTCTTAAAATTATCTTGATGACTCCTAGACTAACCTTGCACTAAGACAATATTTAAAGAGCATCAAAAGCACATTAAAGAAAAGAAAGGTAAAAGGCAGGTGACCAATCTAAGATCCCGATCATCTAAATCACGGGTCCGAAAACCAAGAGTTCTTTCTACATATCCCATCTCATTATCACCAGAACCCTTTCCTTTCTCATTTAAAAGGTCAGCAAATGCACCACCAAACTGAATTCTCAGCAACCTCACAGCAGATACTGCACAGATCATAAAAAAATCCACATAAGAAAAAAAAAAGTAGAATATTCTTAAAACCAACTGCCTGACCTTAAATTTAATCTCAAAAAACCAGAGTAAGGGATATGATATATGGATGCAAAAATACCGCACCTGTACTAGTAGAAATGTAGAATCAAATGTTAAAAAGGCATGAAATGAGTATTAAGTAATGCATTTGCCATTGTAAGTGTAACCATAACTTCAACCATTCATCACACCACCATAAAAATTGACACAATAAAATGAATTCCAAAAGAAACAAGAGAGAGAAGCTGACATTACCAGCTCTATGGGGAGAAACCTCCAAATTCAACTTCTGGATTTTGTGTGAGGGACTAACAAGACCTGAATTGACACATTCATCATCAAAACAAAGCATAATAAGACTAAACTAAAATAAATAAAAAATAAATAAAACAATATTCACACTCATATAAATGTAAAACAAAAGCTAAACATGCTACAAAAAAGGATTGAAAGTTGAATTCCAGACACCGGCAGCCTATATTAAAAGTTGGGTTCTTTCAGTCTTCCATCTTCATTTCTGGGTCTTAAAAACTTTCAATCTTCAAACAGTTTCTGGAAACAAACTGAAAAAGCTACCTTTTTTAGCAGTAGAAATGGATGTGTTAGACTTGTTAGTTCTCTTGCTGAGTTTCAACGACTTGGGGGAAGGTTTCTGTGTGTGTGAAGAAAGAAAGACACGAAGAGATAGCACCTGTGCCATTGATGCTCTGAAATCTCGTATTGAAAGCCAACCAGAGCGAAGCAATGAGCTTATATTTTGTTTTCTTTGGTTGTTTTTCTGGATAACCGTCCAGTATCAGTCCCGCACATTGACACGCTGCAGGCAGAGCTTGTCCGAAGCTCCAAAGCGTAGACTGGGCTAGTCTGGATTGGGCCTTGTTTCAGCGACAATTGCCAAAAATGTTCTTTGTCCAAGCTCGGCGTCGCCATGATCATTGGGCTCAGTTTAATCCTAAAGTGGTGATTCTAAATAGATGGAAACAAACTAGGAATTGGACCTGCCCATTAGGCGACTTTGTTTGAAAATATAGAATTTTAAATGAAAATTATATCTCATGATTTATATTATATAAAATATATTTTTTAATTTTATTAAATTTTTATATATTTCTTGTTAAACACATATATAAATTTAACAAAAAAAATTTATATTTTATATTTAATATATCGACATAACTTTAACATGATAATTTTTTATATTTTAAATATATTTTATATTATATAAACATAATACAAATATACGAATGGTTACGTACAAAAAGTTACTCCACTCCTATGTATTACACTTGTGTTCTCAATCGGCCATTCCCAGGATTTTATTGTCTGTAGGCTGATGCTGTGCCTTGTTTCTTCAGCTTCTATTTATTTTACTTTTGACCTCTAAGAGTCCATGCCATGATCAGATTGTTTTTAAAGTAATAAACAGGTAGCAGCCATGAAAGTCATGCTCTATTTGATCATTTAGATTTGTCTTGGCAGACATTTAGACTATAAATGATACACTAATGTTAATAAATTATTCAGATTCAGTTTAGATAAAATTTAAATTTTATTTGATTATTGTTAAGTTTAATTTGAATAATTTGATTTATCAAATTAATTAAATTTAAATATTTTAATACTTGAATCAAATAATTTAATTTTTATTTTAAATTAAGCTCAAATTTAAAAATTAAAATTCAATCAAATATGAACTAAATTTCGAATAATAAATTTTGATTCAAAAGGTTCTCACTGTATTATCTTTTACTCGAGCACACCCTTATTAAACGTCACCTGATATATATCCTATAGGCTTAAACCTGTGTTTCCTGATACCAGTTCATCTTAGGAAGGGTCAAAGTCTAGAAGGAGAAACAGGAAACATAAAAATGTCAATTCCTATGCATGCATGTCCTGTTATAATCATATTCATTGAATCAAGTTTCAAGAATGAAGTAGACCAGAAGAAAGGAATAATTTTTGCTTTTTATTTTACAAAGTGATCATAGCTAAAGGTGTAAATAAGCCAAATTGTTCATAAATTATTTATGTTTGATTTGAGAAAATTTTAATTTAACTCATTTATTATTGAGTTGATTTTAAATTTAAATTTTAAATTATTCGAGTAATGAATCAAATTGAGTTTGAATAACTTAATACTTGACTTAAGAAATTTACAAATGTAATAAAGTTTTATTTTTAATATATTATATAAATAAATAAATAATAAAAATATTTAATATTTAATGTCAATATTTATAATTTTATCGAACTAAATCGAGTTTATCAAACCAAACTCAAATAGCTCAATTAAGTAATAAGTCAAGTTCAAACATAAAAATTAAAATTCTAATCAAGTTTTGAACTTCTAACTTTTTAGTAATATTCGAGCATGATAATATATTAATTCGATTCAGCTCAATTATATTTATAATCATAGCTCAAAAATAAAAAAAAAATATTAAGATTTAAACTTCAAACTATTATATCTTAAAAAAAACTTATATAAATCAATGAAACTAAATTTTACATTCAAAAAATAATATTTACTTTAATTGCTGTTTAAGTTTTTTTTTATCTTTCTCAACGTGAAAGGAAAAAGATATTGAATATACTAATTTTTAAAATATTCGAATCATAATTATTAAAATTAAAATTTAATATTTTATCAATAAATTACAAAATAAATTAAATGTTGGCTAATCCATCAATTTTTATTCCTCCTCTTATATTCCTCATCTGCCCCCAAAATTTCATAGAGAAAAACAAATGAGATTAAAATATAAAGAAAAAGAATACACAATAAATTTTCTGTTATTCATAGTAAAATTCATACTCCAAAGTTTCATTTTTTTCTATTATAATTTTCCAAAATGCCACTTCAGCCATGACACCATTAGGGCTTCCTTTGACACCTTTTAGATGACTTTTTAGTCATTTTTTATACATAAAAAGAGACGCCAATACTTTTCATCCATAAAATATAAAATAATAAAATAGATGCCAACTTTTTTTAATTGGTACTTAATGTTTATATGTAGGTTAGAATAAGATTTATATTTAATTTGTGAGATATTATTTATTTTAATTCGAAAATTTAATGATTTTATCTTATAAATTTTTTTTTATAAATTTGAGTTTAGATTTCTTTATATATATATCATAATAAATTTTCCGATTATGCTGATGTGGAATTGAAATCTCACAAACTTTTCATGATAAAATTTGATATCCCTATCAAATATAACATAAAATATATAAATCTATTGAATCATATCAAAAGTTTAACATAAAATACATACAGATTATAAGATCACATTAAAAATTATAATTCTAGCAGAAGTCCTCATCGTGTATCACTTAACTCTTATAAGATTTTAGAAGTAACTTTTACAACATAACATTTAGCTTTTATCTGACAGGTAATCATTTTGATATAATTTGTAAATACTACATCTTACTTGCGAAGTATTGTTTATTTTAGCTCGAAGATCTCATAATTTTATTTCACAAAAGATATCTCATAAATTTATATTTAAATCTTTATATATATATATATATATATATATGATAACAAAATTTTAAATTATTCTGATGTGAAATTAGGGTTTAAGTAATTAACCTATGATTTAACTTTAAATTATATTACTTTTCATGATTAAATAGTTAAATTTTGTTTCTTTTAAATATTTTTAAATATTATTTTTATTAATAGAAGCTTAATGTAGTAAAAAATAATATCACGATAGATGATATATTTTTATTAATTAATATTTATTATATCGATATTTTGATTAATAATATTAATTAACGGTGTAAAATATTTTTAAAAAATAAAATCTAAATATTTAATCATAAATTTTTTATAAATATAAAATTATTATAAATCATATCATTTAAAAATTAAATTATTTTGTATATATACATATTTGTATAAAATAATATTTTGGATATTAAAATAATAAAAAAATAAAGTTGAATTGAGGACTTAAGTGTTAAGCTAGAACTTTTTAACTTCTCTACTAAGTTTTCCACAAAAGCACATGATTGTTCCTCTTTTCCCCATTGCCATGGGACCCCTAAAGGTGACATCGTCTCGAATTAATCTTTGTGATTACTCCCTAACTTTTTTTTTTTTAATCTCAGTGAAAATAACAGCACCTTGTTTCACCTACTAATACTGATATTTTCAATTTGTTATTGAAAAATCATGGCTTTATTTTCCTATTATTTATTTATTTTTCAATCAAAATTTACAATTAGTCAAATTTTAATCTTAAGGAAATAGATTTCAAAAATTGGCAAAAAAAAACTGTTAGATGTTATAAATATAATATAGATATAATAATTTATATATTTATATCGTATTTATTTTATATTAAATATATATAATATAAAAATTATCATATTATAATTTATTTTAACATGTCAAATATAAAATATATATTTTTATTTTTATCAAATATATATAATTTTTATCAAAATTTTAAATTGTATCACTTTTTTATTTTTTTAATATTATTTTAATATCATATCATGTTATTAAATCTACAATTATCAAGTCAATTATCTAAAATTTTTTATAGTTTAAAGAGGGGAATTTAAATCGGACAAAAGGATAACTAGAATTTAATTAATTTGTTTCAAGTAAAAGAAAAAAAATGAACAATGAAAGCTACAAACAAATTGCAAAGGAATGATGCAATTAATCCAAACAAATGCAACTATCATTCTCAAAAATATAAAAAGGAGAAAAATTATTAAAAAATTATAAAAATAATTTTGAAAAACTTATTAGGTTCCACAATATAAATTTATTTGAATTGATTCAAAATAAAATATACTAAATAAAATTTAAAAAATTTTTAGAGTTCAAAACAATAATTATATGTCTTAAAACTATTTTATTATACAAAAATTTCCTTGAAATTAGAAAATTAAAATAGATTAATAAAATGAACTATAAAAAATTATTAAATAAATATAATAATTCAAATTGAATAGTGGGGTATTATTTTTCTTTGTAATGTCATTGTGGTATTTATTTTTTTTGAGATGTCAAAAATTAAAACTTATTTAAAAAAATGTACAAAGAAATTAAAAAAATAAATAAAAGAAATTAAAAAAAAATATTTTCCTTTTCATTTTCTTCAAGCAATATCTCAACTTTTTCATATAAATATTTACAGGACACTCTTTTTTATCTTCTCAAGTTTAACACAATTCTCCCACACTTCTCTCTCTCTCTTTTCTTTTCTTTCTCTTTCTTTGATCTTATCAGAAACCCTAATTTCCGATCCCAAAATCATAGCTTTTTCCCCAAATTCCCTTCTAATTGTCAGTCCCACTTTTTGCCTTCCCAATTTTAGGATCCTTCTTTGATCCCAATATTTTAACAGTGATAATTAAGGAAAAAGCCCTAACTTTTTCTTTAATTTCTAACATTTTCAACTCTTCGATCAATTCCCGATTGCCTTGAGTGTTGATCGATTCTCAAAATCGTAACTTTTAATTTGTGAGATGTGCCGATTTTGCTCAATATGAAGCTCAAGCGGAGGAGGTCTTTAGAATTGGTAAGTAAAATATTGTTCATTTTTTCAATTTGATTGTATTTTTAGTTTGTTTATATTTTTTTGGTGTTATTTAAGCTGTTTAAATGCTGTGAAGTTTGAATTTTTATTTCTTTTTTATTGATCAAGGTAAAATATTTTATTTTTATTTTATTTCTTTACGTTTTTGATTGGTTGGAGTTTGTTACTAGTGGCAAAGTTTTGAGATGAACTTAATATTTACTTTGAAATTTGATTGATAGGGCTTTTGAACTCATTTGGGGTTTGAAGCAGACTTCCAGTTTTGAAAAACCCAAATAGAATTATGGTATCAAATAAGTAACTAAGTCAAAATAAAATTGACCTTCTCTTTTTGACATTTTATTGGCAACATGGTGGGGCATTGTTTGCTTGAATTCTGAATGTGGTGTCATTTTAGTAATTTGAAGAAAATAAGTTTCTTACATTTGTGGCAACATAGTTCTGTCTGTTGTTTGCAAAAAGCCTGGAGATACAAGTAAGTCTTAGGTTTGTGCCCAAGCAGTAGGCTGTGGTGGGGCTTGCCAAATGTAGCTGATGTGCATATAGGATGATCTCTTAACAGGTTTTATTCTCTTTTGGTTGTATAAGTTGCATCTACTTGGCTAAGAGGGTTGGTTGTTGAAAGGTGGACAATCTATTTTTATTGGCAATGGTTTTATGAGGAGGCTTGAGATTATATGTTTAGAGAGCTATGGAAACAAAACTTGGTTCCATTGTGGTATGCTTATTTCTTTCCCTTCTAGAAAGCAGTTAATGAACTTTTTAGGCTGTTGAGGTATTGCCATTGGTTTGTTTTCCTAATTACCGTCTGTATTTTTCTTTGTTTTCTGTCTCTTTTGATTTGCCAATCTGGCTTCTGTTTATGTTGGTAGGATATGAATATCCAGGAATATATTGATGCCTAAAACTAAAGTAACTGTTTTTCTTTTTGACTGGTATCAGCCTCCCAAAATCAGATCCTTCATCAATAGCGTCACTTCTGTACCGCTTGAGAATATAGAGGAACCCCTAAAACATTTTGTTTGGGAGTTTGATAAGGTGCCTTTATAACCTTTATTTGATAAATTGTTTTAGTTTCTGTACTGCAGTTATTTACAATTTGCTGTTATTGATGCAGGGGGATTTTCATCATTGGGTTGAGCTTTTTAACCATTTTGATACATTTTTTGATAAGCATATAAAATCAAGAAAAGATTTGCAGGTTGAGGATAATTTTTTGGGATCTGATCCTCCTTTCCCAAGGGAAGCAGTTCTTCAAATTCTTCGTGTTATAAGAATAGTCTTGGAAAACTGCCCAAATAAGCATTTTTATAGCTCCTATGAGGTACTTTTTTGGTCTTAGAAATCCTGCTATCTTACATTATGTACTAGATTTTATTTTTTCAAAAAATATATTAGTAAATCTGTATACTTTACAATCTTGGGTATCTTTTTGCTTTTCTTTCCAAGTGAGAGATCAGGCATATTAATTACTTTGAGGCTATAAACATGCCAATCATTTTTACTTCTTTATCTCCTCTCTTCTTAATTTTCTTGTTTTTGGTTCCTTGCAATTTGCAGCAGCATCTTTCATCCTTGCTTGCATCTACAGATGCTGATGTCATTGAGGCTTGCTTGCAAACTTTTGCTGCTTTCTTGAAGAAAACAATTGGAAAGTACTCTATCAGAGATGCGTCTCTAAATTCCAAGTTATTTGCTCTTGCACAAGGTTGGGGGGGAAAAGAAGAGGGTCTAGGATTGCTTGCATGTGCTGTACAGAATGAATGTGATAAAGTTGCTTATGACTTAGGGTGTACTCTTCATTTTGAGTTCTATTCATCGAATGAGTTCTCTGCCTCAGAACAGTCAACCCGAGGTTTACAAGTTATTCATTTACCTAATATCAACACTCATCCAGAGACTGATTTGGAGCTCTTGAATAAATTAGTTGGTGAGTATAAGGTACCCACCAATTTAAGATTTTCTTTATTGTCAAGATTGCGATTTGCAAGGGCTTTTGGCTCTTTTACAACTCAGCAGCAGTATACACGCATTTGCTTGTATGCCTTCATTGTTCTTGTTCAGGCATGCAGTAATGCTGATGACCTAGTTTCTTTCTTTAAGAACGAGCCTGAGTTTGTCAATGAGTTAGTTACTTTACTGAGCTATGAAGATGCAATTCCTGAGAAGATTCGAATTTTATGTGTGCTTTCTCTGGTTGCTCTTTGTCAAGACCGGTCCCGCCAACCGACTGTATTGACTGCGGTCACATCTGGTGGACACCGCGGCATTCTATCCAGCCTCACACAGAAAGCTGTTGATTCTGTTATTAGCAATACCTCAAAGTGCTCTGTTGTGTTTGTTGAGGGTTTGCTATCTCTTGTCTATGTTTTGGTTTCCTCATCATCACGTTGCTCGGCCATGCGTGAAGCAGATTTTATCCCTACACTTCTACCTCTGCTTAAAGATACTGATCCGCAGCATCTGCATTTGGTTAGTACAGCTGTCAATATTCTAGAAGCCTTCATGGAGTATATTAATTCTGCTGCTGCTGCATTGTTCAGAGACTTGGGTGGTTTAGATGATACAATCTCTCGCTTGAAACTTGAAGTTTCTTATGTTGAAAACAGTCCAAAGCAACAAATTGAAAATCCTGACTGTAGTGGGAGGAGTCCACAAGGAGCTGCAGGTGCTTCAACTGATCTTGACCACATGCAGCCATTATATTCTGAAGCATTAGTTTCCTATCACCGTCGGCTGCTCATGAAATATTTATTACGTGCTATATCTCTTGGAACATATGCCCCTGGAAACACTGCTCGTCTTTATGGATCTGAGGAGAGTTTGTTGCCACCATGCTTGTGCATCATATTTAAACGAGCAAAAGATTTTGGTGGGGGTGTATTTGCTCTTGCTGCAACCGTCATGAGTGAACTAATACACAAGGATCCTAACTGCTTTCCTGTCCTAGATGCAGCTGGTCTTCCATCTGCCTTCCTAGATGCTATATTGGATGGTGTTCTCTGCTCTGCGGAAGCCATAACATGCATACCTCAGTGTTTGGATGCCCTGTGTCTTAATCCTAACGGTCTTCAGGCTGTAAGAGATCGCAATGCTTTGAGGTGCTTCGTCAAAATATTTACTTCTAGAACATATTCACGTTCTCTTACTGGGGATACTCCTGGTTCCTTGTCAAGTGGCTTGGATGAACTTATGCGGCATGCTTCTTCATTGCGTGCGCTTGGAGTGGATATGGTGATTGAGATCTTATATGTCATAGTGGGAATTGGATCTGGGGTTGACAATTCTTACTTTGTTGCTGAATCGTCTGCCCTGGTACCCATGGAAACTGATGCTGAAGAGAGGAATTTGATTCATCGAGATGACAGGGAAACTTCAAGGATTGAGAGTTCAGAGCAGACGGCTGAGCCCTCTTCTGATCCTTCTTTGGCGAATATTGAATTGTTTCTTCCAGAATGTATAAGCAATGTGGGCCGTCTTCTTGAAAACATTCTTCAGAATGCTGATACCTGCCGTTTGTTTGTTGAAAAGAAAGGGATCGATGCTGTCCTACAGTTGTTTACCTTGCCTTTAATGCCTCTTTCAGCATCAGTTGGACAGAGCATTTCTGTTGCCTTCAAGAACTTTTCGCTTCAGCATTCTGCATCTCTGGCTCAGGCAGTTTGTTCATTCCTGAGAGAACATCTGAAGTCAACAAATGAACTGTTAGCTTCAGTTGGGGAAACTAAGCTAGCTACTGTTGAACCGGGAAACCAGACTAAGGTTTTGAGATCTCTTTCTAGTCTTGATGGTATATTGTCTCTCTCCAATTTTCTTTTGAAGGGCACTACTAGTGTTGTCTCTGAATTGAGCACTGCAGATGCTGATGTATTGAAAGATCTTGGGAGGGCATATAGGGAAATAATATGGCAAATTTCTTTGTCTAATGATTCCGTGGCTAATGAGAAGCGGAATGCTGATCAAGAAAGTGAGAGTATGGATACAGGTACATCAAATGCTGCTGCTGGAAGAGAAAGCGATGATGATACCGGTATTCCAGCTGTGAGATACATGAATCCAGTTTCTATTAGAAACGGTTCTCAGTCTTTGTGGGGTGCAGAACGAGAGTATCTTTCACTTGTTCGTTCTGGTGAAAGTTTGCACCGTCGCAGTAGACATGGTTTGTCCCGTTTAAGGGGTGGAAGGAATGGTCGACACTTGGATGCTTTAAATATTGATTTTGAAGCTTCTCACAATTTACCAGAGATGCCATCTCTCCTGGATTTGAAAACAAAAAGTCCTGATCTTCTAATTATAGAAATTCTTAACAAGCTTGCTTTCACGTTACGATCCTTTTTCACAGCTCTTGTCAAGGGGTTTACCTCACCAAACCGTCGTAGAGCAGATGCAGGATCATTAAATTCGGCTTCAAAGACCCTTGGTGTGGCTCTGGCTAAAATATTTCTTGAGGCATTGGATTTCTCTGGGTTTTCTTCATCTTCAGGACTTAATATGTCCCTTTCAGTCAAGTGTCGCTACCTTGGAAAAGTTGTTGATGACATGGGAGCACTGTCATTTGACAGCAGGCGGCGTACATGCTATGCAGCAATGATTAATAATTTTTATGTCCATGGAACCTTTAAGGAACTACTTACCACCTTTGAAGCTACTAGTCAGTTATTGTGGACAATACCATACTCTATCCCTACACCAGGTATTGAAGATGAGAAGGCAGGTGAAGCAACTAAATTCTCACACAGTACATGGTTACTTGATACATTACAATGCTACTGCCGTGTGCTTGAGTATTTTGTTAATTCTACATTACTTCTGTTTGGGAATTCTACATCCCAGACTCAGCTGCTTGTTCAGCCAGTTGCTGCTGGTTTGTCAATTGGGCTTTTCCCTGTTCCAAGGGACCCAGAAACCTTTGTGCGCATGCTGCAGTGTCATGTTCTGGATGTGATTCTACCTATCTGGAACCATCCTTTGTTTCCTAATTGTAGTCCTGGTTTTGTGGCTTCTGTTGTTTCAATCGTCATGCATGTATATTCAGGTGTTGGAGATGTGAAACGAAATCGCAGTGGCATGACAGGAAGTACAAACCAACATTTCATGCCCCCACCACCTGATGAAGGTACCATAGCCACCATTGTTGAGATGGGTTTTTCAAGGGCTAGGGCAGAGGAAGCACTGAGACGAGTTGAAACAAATAGTGTTGAAATGGCCATGGAGTGGCTGATTAGTCATGCTGAGGATCCTGTGCAAGAGGATGATGAACTAGCTCGTGCGCTTGCTTTATCACTTGGAAATTCATCAGAGACATCCAAAGTTGATGTTGTTGACAAGCCAATGGATGTGATGACAGAAGAAGGCCGGCCTGCAGAACCTCCAATTGATGATATCCTCAGTGCATCTGTGAAGTTGTTTCAGAGTAGTGATAACATGGCATTTTCACTGACAGACTTGCTTGTAACACTTTGTAATCGTAACAAAGGAGAAGACCGTCCAAGAGTGCTCTCTTTTCTTATTCAGCAGCTGAGGCTCTGTCCATTGGATTTTTCCAAAGATTCCACTACTTTGTGTACGATATCTCATGTTGTAGCACTGCTTCTTTCTGAGGATGGAAATACACGTGAAATTGCTGCCCAGAATGGCATAGTACCTGCTTCTATTGATATCTTGATGAACTTCAAGGCTAAAAATGAGTTGGGGAATGAAATCGTGGCGCCAAAATGTATTAGTGCATTACTGTTGATCTTGGATAACATGTTGCAGTCTCGTCCAAGAATATTTTCTGAGACGGTGGAGGGTACTCAGACAGTATCTCAACCTCACTCATCCGGGGAGCATGCTTCCTTGTCAGTTCCGGAATCAATGACAGAGAAAAAATCAACTTCAGATGTGAATGAGAAAGACTCTATAACTACATTTGAGAAAATATTGGGTAAATCTACTGGTTACTTGACTATAGAAGAGAGTCATAAGTTGCTGCTTGTTGCTTGCGACCTAATCAGACAGCATGTTCCAGCGATGGTCATGCAGGCTGTTCTGCAGTTATGTGCTCGCTTAACAAAATCACATGCTCTAGCTTTGCACTTTCTTGAGAATGGAGGCTTGGCTGCTCTTTTTAGTCTTCCAAGAAATTGTTTTTTCCCTGGTTATGATACTGTTGCATCTGCCATTATCAGACATCTCCTTGAAGATCCTCAGACTTTGCAAACTGCTATTGAGTTGGAGATTAGGCAGAATTTGAGTGGAAGCAGGCATGCCGGCCGTGTTTCACCTCGGGAATTTTTAACATTAATGGCACCTGTTATCTGTAGAGATCCTGTAGTTTTTATGAAAGCTGCGGCTGCAGTTTGTCAGTTGGAGTCATCAGGGGGAAGGCCCTTTGTAGTTCTATTGAAGGAAAAGGAGAAAGATAAGGACAAATTGAAGCCTTCTGGTGCTGAACTTGGATTTTCTTCAAATGAATCTGTGCGAATTCCTGAGAATAAGGTAAATGATGGAACAGGTAGATGTTCAAGAGGCCACAAAAGGATTCCAGCCAGTCTTGCTCAAGTGATTGATCAGCTTCTCGAAATAGTTTTGAAACATCCTTCTGCCAAAGGCCTGGAAGATAGTGCAACTGACTTAACTTCAATGGAGATTGATGAACCTGTAAGCAAGGTGAAGGGTAAGTCAAAGGTTGAAGAAACAAGGAAAATGGAGTCTGAAACTGAGAGATCTGCACAACTTGCTCAGGTGACTTTTGTCCTTAAGTTGCTGAGTGATATTCTTTTAATGTATGTGCATGCGGTTGGTGTCATATTGAAAAAGGATTCAGAAATGGGTCAACTTCGTGCTTCTAATCAATCAGATAGATCTGGAAGCCTTGGCATTCTTTATCATATTTCACATAGGTTGCTCCCACAGTCTGTTAATAAGTCTACAGGACCTGATGAATGGAGGGACAAGTTGTCAGAAAAAGCTTCATGGTTTCTGGTGGTTCTATGTGGTCGTTCTAGTGAAGGCCGTAAAAGGGTGATTAATGAACTTGTGAAAGCCTTATCTTCTTTCTCAAGTTTGGAGAGCAATTCAATGAATAGCTCATTGGTGCCTGATAAAAGGGTTTTTGCTTTTGCTGATTTGACATATTCAATTTTGTCGAAGAATTCGTCATCGAGCAACTTACCTGGTACAGGCTTCTCACCAGATATAGCAAGAAGCATGATTGAAGGAGGAGTGGTTCAGTGTCTAACCAACGTTCTTGAAGTGATTGATTTGGATCATCCTGATGCACCCAAAACTGTAAATCTGATCCTCAGGGCTTTGGAAAGCCTGACTAGGGCTGCTAATGCGAATGAGCAGGTTTTCAAGTCTGAAGGGTCCAACAAGAAGAAGTCATTGTCTACAAACGGAAGACATGCTGATCAGGTAACTCTATCTGCTGCTGAGGCAATAGAGCACAATCGGAATGGGGGTGGTGAACAAGTAGTTGTAGATGCGGAGGAGACTGAACAACAGCAACATGAAGGAACTTCACAAAGTGAAGGCAATCACCACGCAAACCCAAATGATTCTATCGAGCAAGATATGAGAGTTGAAGTGGAGGAGACAGCAGCTAGCAATAGACCCATGGAACTGGGGATGGATTTCATGCGTGAAGAAATGGAAGGAGGTGTGTTACACAATCCCGACGAAATTGAGATGACATTCCGAGTGGAGAATAGGGCAGATGATGATATGGGTGATGATGATGACGACATGGCAGATGATGGGGAGGATGATGAGGATGATGATGAGGGGGAGGATGAGGATGATGATATAGCAGAAGATGGTGCTGGAATGATGTCTTTAGCTGATACTGATATGGAGGACCATGATGATACTGGTTTGGGAGATGACTATAATGATGACACGATTGATGAAGAAGATGATGACTTTCATGAGCATCGTGTTATAGAGGTAAGGTGGAGGGAAGCCTTTGATGGGTTAGATCATTTGCAGGTACTCGGTCATCCGGGAGCTGCAAGTGGTTTGATTGATGTTGCTGCTGAGCCTTTTGAAGGCGTGAATGTGGATGATCTTTATGGTCTTCATAGGCCTGTAGGTTTTGAACGCAGGCGATCTAATGGTAGGTCTTCCTTTGAGCGTACTGCTACAGAAGTAAATGGCTTTCAACATCCTCTTCTGTCAAGACCATCCCAGTCAGGGGATTTAAGCTCAATGCGGTCATCAGGTGGGAATCCATCCAGGGATTTCGAAGCTCTCTCATCTGGGAGTTTTGATGTTACTCATTTCTACATGTTTGATGCTCCTGTTCTGCGATATGATCATACACCAAGTAGTCTGTTTGGTGATCGATTGGGCAGTGCAGCACCCCCACCTTTGACGGATTATTCTGTAGGCATGGACTCATTGCATTTGACAGGGAGAAGGGGGCCTGGTGATGGACGGTGGACCGATGACGGTCAGCCACAAGCATGTGCTCAAGCTGCAGCAATTGCACAGGCAGTAGAGGAACAGTTTATATCTCATTTGTGCAGTTCAGGTCCAACCAATAATTTTGCAGAAAGGCAGTCACAATATTCTGGAATACAGGAGACGCAACCATCAGATGCTCCTGCATCAAATGATTGCAAGACTGTGGTAGAGGGAGAAAATGCCAGCAATCAGCTAAATGAAAATCAGCAGCAAGAAAATGTTAATGAAGTTTCACATGAACTTAATCCAATGGTTGAAAGTGTTTCATGCCATGAGCAGCTCAATCCTCAGCCTGACGTTGGTGATATAGCTGAATCTATTCAGGAACATGAAGGGATATTAACTCAGCCGATTTCTTTGAACAGTGCACCAGATGAGCGTGGTAACATGGAAATTGGGGAAGGGAATGACACTGCTGCTGATCAAGTAGAGCGAGTTTCTGAAATGGTTAATTTGGCTTTGGGGGATTCTGGTGTACCTGAAAATCTGTCGTTACAGGCCATGGGTGCTGACGGATTGTTAGGAGCAGATGGTCAGGCAGGTAATCATGTTTTAGCAGGTTCTGGTTTGGAGATGTGTAACCCAGGTGATTCTAATGCGTCTTCATTTCATGAAAGTATTGATGTCGACATGAATTCAACTCATGCTGAAGGGAACCAAACTGAACAATCCATTACTCCTGAAATTGGTGCAGAGGAGCCAGCTTCTCGACAAAACACGCTAGATGCTCAGGATGCTAATCAGGTTGAACAAACTAGTGTTAATAATGAGGGTCCTGGTGCTAATGCCATTGATCCTACCTTCTTGGAGGCACTACCTGAAGATCTACGGGCAGAAGTTTTGGCTTCCCAACATGCTCAATCTGCTCAACCTCCAACTTATGTGCCACCTTCAGCAGATGATATTGATCCTGAGTTTTTAGCTGCACTTCCACCAGACATTCAAGCGGAAGTGTTAGCACAGCAAAGAGCACAGAGAGTTGCACAGCTAGCTGAGGGTCAACCTGTGAACATGGATAATGCTTCGATCATTGCCACCTTCCCTGCTGATCTGCGTGAAGAGGTTTGTAATATAAACTTTTCTGAAGGTCTTTAATGCAACTTTGAAAGGTCAAAGGTTCAAATCTCACCAATTACAAAATATTTTAATTATCCAAAAAAAAAAAAGAAACTTTTCACCTTCTTTATAACTGAACTATAATAACTCTTTCTAGCCTTTTTTCCAGGTGCTTTTGACTTCTTCGGAAGCAGTTTTGTCAGCATTACCTTCTTCATTACTTGCTGAAGCTCAAATGCTTAGGGACAGAGCAATGAGTCATTACCAGGCACGTAGTCTTTTTGGAGGTAGCCACAGGCTAAATAATCGGAGGAATGGTTTGGGTTTGGATAGGCAGACTATGATGGACAGGGGTGTTGGAGTTACAATAGGTCGAAGGCCGGGTTCTACCCTTTCAGATAGCTTAAAAGTGAAGGAAATTGAAGGGGAGCCTCTTCTGAATGCAAATTCTTTGAAAGCGTTGATTCGCCTTCTACGACTAGCACAGGTACTGTTATTTACTAATTTTCATGGTTCAATGGACAAGCAAGGCTTGCTGACTCTGACCAATTTGCCAAAGTGGTTGTAGACTGACAACTTTTAACATCAATCTGATGCTTGAAATGCAATATTCAGTTTTAGTCCGGGAAAGACTATGGTGGTGTTGTAATGTAGTTTGTCCAAATAATTAGTGAAAATTTTGAAAACTCTTGTGCATTTCTAACATATTGGTTTTTGTTTATATATCTGTTTGTAGCCCCTTGGGAAAGGCCTTCTGCAAAGGCTTCTGTTAAATCTTTGTGCACATAGTGTTACAAGGGCAACTTTGGTAAAGCTCTTGCTTGATATGATTAGATCTGAAACTGAAGTCTCAAGCAATGGTTTGTCAAGAATAAATTCCCTAAGGCTTTATGGTTGCCAGTCAAATGTTGTTTATGGCCGGTCACAGTTGTTCGACGGTAATGCTTTCATCTGATGTAATTGCTTCTTTCTGCATTTGTTTCCTGTGTCTTACCTTTGATTTTGCATGTTGCAATAGGTCTTCCACCTCTTGTTCTACGTCAAGTTCTAGAGACTTTGACTTATTTGGCTACAAATCACTCTGCTGTTGCAAATATGTTGTTCCACTATGATCCTTCAATTCTTTCAGAAAAAAACTCAGAAACCAAGAAAGATAAAGGCAAAGAGAAAATTATGGATGGAGATGCATCAAAACCCTTTGGAAATTCTTGGGAAGGGGATGTTCCTGTAATATTATTTCTCAAGCTCTTGAATTGCCCGCCGTCTTTGCGTGGCACTGCCCATCTCGAGCAGGTAGTACTCTTCTAATGAATTGCTCTTCTAAACAGCTTGCATGCATTAGTTTTGGCTATTACTTCTAATGGATATTGATATAATATCCTTTATTCTTCGATTTATTTTAATATGGTTTTTAATGGCGCAGGTTGTGGGCTTGCTTAAAGTAGTTGTCTACACTGCAGCATCAAAATTAGAAAACTGGTCACTCTCTAATCTGGCTGTTGATAATACAAATACCCATAACCTGCTCACAAATGAAGCTTCTGGTGATGTTCATAAGGACCATCCTTTATCAGAGCCAGAGTCTAATCAGGAGGATAAACGGACCAATGCTGAATCCTCTGCATCCAATGGCTATAGAAATGTGGATTTGTATAATATTTTCTTGCAGCTGCCAGAGACTGATTTGCGCAATTTGTGCCGTCTTCTTGGTCGTGAGGGGTATTATTTTCTGATTCTTATCTAGGATGTGTTGAAAGTTACTTATAGTAGTTGTGATTTTAACTCCATGTTCTTTTTTTTTCCCATGTTTCCCCTGGAAAATCTTTTTATCTTCTTTTCACTGCTGACCTTTTCTAATATTTTTGTTCAGGCTGTCAGATAAAGTTTATATGTTAGCTGGTGAGGTGCTGAAGAAGTTGGCCTCAGTTGCTGTGACCCATCGCAAGTTCTTTGCCTCAGAGCTTTCAGAATTAGCTAATAGTTTGAGTAGTTCGGCTGTTAATGAGCTTGTGACACTGAGGAATACACAGATGCTGGGTCTGAGTGCAGGTTCCATGGTTGGAGCTGCTATTCTACGTCTGTTACAAGTGCTTAGCTCACTCACTTCAACTGATGTTGGTGATGATACACCACAGGATGGTGATGGAGAACAGGAAGAGCAAGCTACCATGGTGAAATTAAATGCATCATTAGAGCCATTGTGGGAAGAGTTGAGTAATTGCATTGGCATGACTGAGGCACAGCTGGCTCATCGCTCACTCTGTCCAACTGTATCTAACATAAACGTTGGGGAGCATGTACAGGGAACATCCTCATCATCACCACTTCCTCCCGGGACTCAGAGACTCCTTCCTTTCATTGAGGCTTTCTTTGTTTTGTGTGAAAAGCTACATGCAAATCATTCTATCATGCAGCAAGATCTCGTAAATGTGACTGCACGAGAAGTAAAAGAGTCGGCTGAGTGTTTTGCTTCCTTATCCTCTAAGTGCAGTGGGGATTCTCAGAAGAATCTTGACGGTTCTGTCACATTTGCAAGGTTTGCCGAGAAGCATCGCCGACTTCTGAATGCTTTTGTTAGGCAAAATCCTGGCTTGTTAGAAAAATCAGTGTCTATGTTGCTGAAAGCTCCAAGATTGATCGATTTTGATAACAAGAGAGCATATTTCTGTTCAAGAATAAGACAACAGCAAGAACAGCACCTTGCTGGCACACTGCGAATAAGTGTGCGGCGGGCATATGTTTTGGAAGACTCTTACAATCAGTTACGAATGCGGCCAACTCAGGATTTAAAGGGTCGTTTGAACGTGCAGTTTCAAGGTGAAGAGGGTATTGATGCTGGTGGTCTGACAAGAGAATGGTATCAGTTGCTGTCAAGGGTTATATTTGACAAAGGAGCATTACTTTTTACTACTGTGGGGAGCAATGCAACATTCCAGCCAAATCCCAATTCTGTTTACCAGACTGAGCATCTTTCTTACTTCAAATTTGTTGGCCGTGTTGTAAGTCAATGGGCTGTTAAGTTCTGAGTTGGGTGTTTATCATGATTTGCATTAGTTTTATTCTTATTTTTCTCATTCTGTGAATCACAAATGCAGGTTGCAAAGGCACTATTTGATGGTCAACTTTTGGATGTTTATTTTACTCGATCCTTTTACAAGCACATACTTGGTGTTAAGGTGACTTACCATGATATAGAGGCAGTTGATCCTGATTATTACAAGAATCTGAAGTGGATGCTCGAGGTTGGTTTAATTAAGCAATTTCTTTCCCTGGTTCTTTTAGCTGACTTCTGACATAGTTCATTACAGCGAGTCCATATGAAGAACTAATCCATCATTCTTTCTTAATGATCTTATTTATTCCAGAACGATGTGAGTGACATACCTGACCTGACTTTCAGCATGGATGCTGATGAGGAAAAGCACATACTTTATGAAAAAACCGAGGTATGTAAATGCTGTATGATGAAATATTTTTCCAAGAATTTTCTTTTCTTGTTATATCTCACATATTTTCAAAATTGTTGTGATTTTTTGCTTGGAAAAGGTTACCGATTATGAGCTTAAACCTGGAGGAAGAAATATCAGAGTTACTGAAGAAACAAAACATGAGTATGTAGACCTTGTTGCTGATCATATCTTGACAAATGCTATCCGTCCTCAAATCCATTCCTTCCTTGAGGGATTTAACGAATTGGTGCCACGGGAACTTATTTCAATTTTTAATGATAAAGAGCTTGAGTTACTAATCAGTGGACTTCCTGAAATTGATTGTAAGCTTACCATTCTTATGCTTTTTTACTTGTCATTGAGTTTGCCTGTGATTCTTTTTGCATCTTAACAATATTGTAATTTTGCAGTGGATGATCTAAAGGCCAACACTGAGTATTCTGGCTACACAGCTGCATCTCCTGTTATTCAATGGTTTTGGGAAGTTGTTAAAGCTTTTAATAAAGAGGACATGGCAAGGCTGCTCCAGTTTGTCACTGGAACATCAAAGGTAATTTTTATTGATTATATTAAATGTTCTGGGGTCTTGTTGGTTGACATCCTTATCTATTCTGTTGGGCGTGTTCAGGTGCCATTGGAGGGTTTTAAGGCATTGCAGGGTATCTCTGGTCCACAAAGGTTTCAGATTCACAAGTCATATGGAGCTCCTGAGCGGCTGCCTTCTGCACATACATGGTGAAGAATAATTCTTGTCTGCCCTATTGAAATTCTTCCTCATTTTTCTCTACTTAGGAGTTATAATTTATTTGCTTTTCATTTATTTTTAACCTTTAATTTTTGCTCTCCAGCTTTAACCAGCTAGATCTTCCCGAGTATTCCTCCAAGGAACAGCTTCGGCAACGTTTGCTGCTAGCTATCCACGAAGCTAGTGAAGGATTTGGCTTTGGTTAAACGAAGTTAGTATTATGAAGTTGTTGTCCCTGCAACGCCATCTACAGATCTACATTGTATATGTCAGTATAAGATCCCTTTCATCCAATTTTCATTTCATCCGGAAAAGCCATCTTTTTCTCAACGTCTTTGTCATTTGATCCAATAGCCTTATGTTCATTTTCTCAGTTAGATAGTGTATGTCTATTATGAATCTGATTACTCATCTTATGTTCATTTTCTGTTTCCATTTGCAGAAGCTTATGGATTTCGCCGACGAAGATGTAATAATGCAAGGAAAAGGGTCAAAATTGGATTTGAGATACCCAAAAAGATGCATAGAATTGGATTAGCAGCAAGATTCTGAGCAACAATGCAGAGGAAAATGAGTATTATTTTAGTAGTTTTTGCTGTGTCAAGTGATTGAGGAAGCACATGAAGATGGTCTTATTGTTAATATTAGTTTTTTTCCTTTCTAATTCTTGAAAAATGCTCACATGGCCAATTGTCTTTTTGGATTGGCGCATGTCGTCAACTATTGCTTAGTTCATATATAATAAGCTAGTGATTGTTTTATATTAAATCATCCCTCCCTGTATTTTCGGTTGCCTTAAATTTCCAGTTAAGTTTTAATGTTCTTAGAAATCATTGTTAGAAAGCTTCATTCAAATCGATAACAGAAATGCTAGAGGTAGGTGCAATTCAGCCAAATTGAGTTGATATATTCTTCGGTTTGAATCATATTCGATTGAGGTTAGAAGCACAACTTAGAAACTCATTTCTTATACTTGAGTTTAGCTCATAATTTAATAGAATCGTTCTAGCTCTTAAGTTCAATAAATCTAATAAATTAGATTTGATAATTCGTATCTTATTATGTATAATTTATGATTTGAAAATATTAAATATATTTTTTTATTTTATTAAATTTATTTATGATTTTAGTTAAAATTTTAAATTATATTATTTTTGTATTTTATTTGTATCGTTTTTGTCATATTTTAAATTATTAAATGTAAATAAAATTATAAATATTGATATAAATATTATATTTTTATTACTTATTTATTATTAAATATATTAAAAAATTTTTAAATTCAATTAAGATTATAAAACTTTTCGAATTGAGTATTAAATTATTAAAATTTAACTAACTCATTACATGATTAATTTAAACTTTAACTTAGACGATAATCTAATTTCAATCGAACTCAATTTGACAACAATCGAGATCAGTCAAATAACTCACTAAGTAATTTACATTTCTGCAAGTAGTTCTAGTGATTGCAAATTGGCTACACAAGTAAACGCGGAGCCTAACACGGACCCTGTGGAAAATGAAGAAATGTGAAACGTAGTCTGTGGAAAATGGAGGAAGCCGGCCAGCTGAAGTTGTCAAATTGCATCGGTTTCCCTGTACTTTGAGAGAATATAATTTAATTTTTTAATAAAAATTGTTCTGAAATTTTCCCTCACTTGAAATTTCTCCAGGTTGGCCATTCCTAACACTTCTTAAATTTTTTTTTTTTGGTTAATAATGGAACCACTAATTTTTTTTATATATAAAAAGCCGCAATTAAAGAATAAAAAAAATTACAGGTGAACTTCGTTATTCAGGACCACCAAATATATAACAAGCTTCACAGGCTAAATATTTTGCTGGAATTGTTCAGATTTATATTCAATGGCTTCAACCTTTTTCGTCTGACTTGTCTTCTCTTCTCTGACGCTTCTTTGCTCCACTTTCCCACCTCTTCTTCCTCATCACTGCTTTCTTCTTTGCCCTGCACAATATAACATAAAAAAACATCATCAGTTTTGTGATTTTTATGCATCAATAAGCCATAGCATGCATCACCGGCTGTACAGCCTGTTGGTATGGTGCTGGGCTTTTAATTTGCATAACTCGAATTCAAATCCTAACAGTTTTAAAAATAAAAAAATTGTCATCAGTACCTTCATTTTCGACGATCCTGAATCTTCTTAAACAGCTTTTTGATTCAAGTCTTGCTTTGTTCCCATGAAATTTTTTGATGCAAAAGAGATCGGGAATAAGATAAAGGTTGCAGACACTAGGATTTAAACCTCAAACTTGTTAGATACCGTCTCTTATGGATACGGGTGACCTAACCTTTCCATAGATATCTTTGCTTCTTCTTCTTTTTCTCTCTATATATGATCAGGTCTCTAAAACAGAAGCCTGATGCAAATGTTTGATCACATGTATCCTCACTTGGGTTACATGTGTTCCTGTTCGGACACTAGCATTATAATAAATAGCCATATAGCTGTTCAAAGAAAGTAAAATCAAGCTTTCACACATGGTGATAACGCGGTTTGGGGCAAGTAAACGGGTTGGCCCAGTAAACCATGCATGACAGACTCCACAATTATTAATTAGTTGTCTTAAAAAGCTCGTAATAATTAAAAGATGCTATTTGGGAGTTGGGACCATGTAATTAAAATCTTGTTACATGAATTTCCAAGGGATGGAAAACATTTTTCTAAATTAATTAATTAGTAGATGAATCTATTTTTTTACTAAATATTTATAATAATAACTACAGAAGCTAATGGAATGGAGCGAGATTTAGAATATCAATTAAATAAATATGTAATATCAATTAAATTTAAAATATCTTGAAATTTTATATAAAAAATTATATATTATCAATTAATTCTAAGTTGAGTATCGCAAAAATGAACAATATTACAATGATGTCAGGGTAAGGAGTACTTTCAATTTTGTACATTGCAAATTGTGCTTATATAAAAGCAAATATAAGTTATATAGTTACATACAAAACTAAATTTATTATCGACAAAATTTTATTATAATAAAAATTTTATTCTATACTTATCGATGGATCATCGACGGAATAAAATAAAAATTATTATGACTACTATCGATGGATTATAGGTAAATTACAAATATATATTTGGCTAATTACCTTTTCCTGCAAGAAAGGCCAATTGATGTCCACAATCTAAACACCTTTGGCTGTTCAGTTTTGAGAAAGGAATTAGTACTTAAGAGAATGGCAAAGTCAAGTTAAAGAAAAAAACGTTTCAATGGCTTTCTCTGCAAACAGTGAACCTTAAGCTCAAGTACTGAGATCATTAAGAATTATAGCAGAGAAAGGGCAAAGACAAGTTAAAGAAAAAAATTGTCCCTGCATAAGGGATAGCTTCAAAATTTTCTTTAACTTGTCCTTGCCTTTCTCTGATACCTTCTGCCTTTAGGTCCCTTTGCAATTAAAAAAAAAAAATCATTGGATTTTCTATACTAGGCAAAGCTAGATTTAATTGGATGACTGTCTGATATTTCCTCTTTGTGATTTATAGGCGTGGTGATGGGTGAGGGGCTCCACTTCTATGCAAATGAAAGGAAAGTTAACAGAAATTGTATCATTTGCAAAAGTTAGGAAGGAAAAATTAGAACAATTACATCATAGAATAAATTATTATTCTTTTAGACATGAAAAGAAATTTCATATACAAACCTGCTTGTGAAATTTAATAACATTTTTCTAAATTAATTAATTAGTAGATCAATCTATGAGGAATGACAACCGGATAGATTGAAATCCGTCAAATACGGGTTATTATCTTATTCCTAATAATAACTCATAATTTATTTAATTGTCTTTCCTTCCTCTCACGTTAATTATAAAACTCACATGAATTAATTATCTTATAATTATAAATTCAAATTGAAAAGAAAAATTTTATAGAATGATTCTACTGCTATAAAGAAACTTGCAGGAAACTAAAAGGAAGTTTTATCTGTTACAATCAAAAGGAAGGGAAAAAAAAAATGAATGGCAAGATACCACAAGTTAGCAATCCTTTTAGAAATCAGAGAAAATTGTAGTGCTTTTTCCTTTTTCTTTTAAATTCTTGGTGGATGATCAAATGAGAATGAGATTAAGATTTAACCTTCCATTTTTAATTTGTCAATTACAAGGGCACAAATTAGGGGTACTACTTGAATTCAAAATTTTTAATTCAATTGATTTATATAATTATTTTTAAAGATGATATTCAATAAAAATCCAAGTTTGAATTCCAATATCTGCAATTTAAACTCAAATCTCAATAATTATAATATCTTTCTTTATTTGCAGACTATTACCCCTTTTGAAAAAAAAAAAAAAGATACTTTTTCAAGGTTACTTTCATTAAACTTTCTAAGAAGATACATGGTATGTACTTGATACTTGGTTGGAGTCAATGTGTGGATGGTAATTAAATTAAAACATTAATGGAATTTTCCTTCCTCTTAATTTCTATTTCTTTGTTTTCCTGCTTGTCCCCCTTTTTCCTCTACCTTTCCTCGTCTCTACCTTTCAAGATTGCATGAGTTGACTACGCCCAACTCGTTATTTAATTAATTCGAATTCAGCCTAACAATGATCGAGTTTTGTCAAATAACTCACCAAGTAATTTAGATTTTTTACTAGTAGTTAGTGATTGCATCTGGCTACACAAGTAAACGCGGAAGCCTGACACGGAGTCTCTGGAAAATGTAGGAAGCCAGCCAGCTGAAGTTGTCAAATTGCATCGGTTTCCTAAACACACGAAAGGAATCCATACATTTTTTTTTTATCTCATAATTGTCAACCATGTGCTTACAAATTATTAAACAATCATCTAATTTGATATTACATCCTTCATGTTTTCCGCACTTTAGTTGATAAATAATAATAAATAATTTGGACTAAGTTAGAAATGGTTAATCTTGTTGAAAGGTTAGATTATTTGTTTAAATTTAAAGATTCGTTCAAATTTTAAAAAGATTTGGACAAAAATTAAAATTCATTAAACGAATTTAGACATAATTTTTAGACTTATTTAAATTTTTGGTAAGATTTTGGACAAACGAATTAAAACCGAACTCAACTCAATCTAACCTGAATAAAATGTATAATTAAAATATTATAATTATATAAGTATATATATGTAAATTTTAATTTTTACCATATAAATTAAGTTTAATAAGTGAGCTTACGATTTATTTTTTTAATTTGAATCAAATTTGAAAAAATTTTGAGATCCAAAATATCAAATTGAATCAAATCTGAACAAATATAAAAGCTATTATATCAAGTATAGGTCTCATTCGAACTCGATCCGACTCGACTTATGAATACCTATAACAATAGTTAGTATTTGAAAGAATTTAAGTTACTTGTTTCAATATAAATGCTTCTAAAATTTTCTTACTTGAAATTACCCAAGGTTGGCCATACCCCACGCTTTTTTTTTTATGTTTAATAATGGAGCCATCTAACCTA